GCATGCCAATAACACAAACAACTGATTCAATATAGTAGGTAGAAACGTGATAACGGTGACTAGTTGAACCGCGTGTGCTGCTTTCAAGATTTTGCAGGTTTCTGAATCCGATGGTATCGTAGAGGGTCTCGTGTCTAAGATGCGTTCAGCGTGAACGAACAGATTGTGCAGATGAATGTCTCGTGTAAATACCGTTGAAATTAATTGGAAAGATACTGTGAATATGGGTCGTTGAGAGTCGATCCATGTGATATCCGGTCCTGCGTTCTGCAAACACGTACAAGTTATATTATTTCAACAAAATATATTTGTTTTGCCATACATATCTCTATAAATGTAATTACACTTGATGTTTGTTTTTGAATTTAATCGCCATTGTTTTGGTAACTAATTTATTTCAATGCAATTAAAATGTAATTTATTACTATAAACATTAATTAGTAATACCAATATTTGATCTTACTCTTACCCCTTTCCCTAGTCCAAGGGGTTGTATGGAAAGATATCCGTGTGGCAAGTGCGTTGCTACAGGCAGTACCTGAATACTCGATTCCACATCCACGTTCAATCTATACATAAAATTTTGAACACATATTTATCTATTGAAAGTGCCAAGTATGTCAACAGTTTTAGCTCCAAATTAATTTCATTATTAATTTCATCAAACATTTTGCCTACCTTCCTTTATATAACAAAGGTGCCCATGCATAACCGACGCAACTTTCAACACCATTCTCCTTCTTCTTATTCATATCACAGCTTATATGGTAAAAGGAAAAAAGTATATGGTGCTTTGCGTGCAACTTTGTGGGCAACTTTATTTTGACCTCTTCATACCAAGAAGGTACCGCGTTGTGATGTAAGACTGCGCATGATGCTCGTAGGCACAACAATGATGTACCAGGTCTTCCGTAAATCGCCTGTTAAAAATAGCAGAAAGAAAAATAAAAGATCTTACAGATTCTGCAATTCTCATATTATAAATTTGTACAAGAGAAAGCTTTTATCATTCATACTCTTAAAGGCTTGACATTCTCGCCATCATCATCGCGAAGCTCCACGATGCATGCTATGTTCCTAGCTCGGGTAAATATTTTCTGGCTGTCGAAACAGAGCGTCTGCGGATATATGTAGAGATGATTGATATATGTCGTGTAAGGATGCACGTCTTTCTCAGAGATACTTTCAAACTCGGCGATTTCGATTGTCGTCTCTGCCGTTGGAGGTATCGGAAATGGCTTTAAGGGTACTAGGCAAGTCGATAATGTATCTAGAAATCATATTTGTATATATCATATATCTGGAGTGTTCAAAATTATAGACTATAATTTTTTCTCTTATAATAAGAACTAAAACTTATTTTATTTATTAGAAAAATTGCTAAGATAATTTTACTTAAAAGAATTAAGTTATAAAAGTTATTTGGCTTTTATGTATTGATATTGCATATTCAAATTATTTTTCCTCGAATTTATTTTTAAATTTCGAGATATATAAACTTTCTTTTTAGTTCTAAGATATTCTTAAAATATAATGCAAAGATCATTGCACAAAAATCAAGGCAACACAACTTTTCTAATAATATTAAAAGTTCTAATATTACATAAAGTGATAGTTTTATGATTTGTATTATTTGATTACTCACTTTCAGGGATGTCCGTAATAGATTCTATTTTGATTTTTAACCAACCAGGTATCACAGTCAATTTGTTAAGCTTCTCAGGTCTGTAAGAAAATTTTATATTTAGTTATATCTGCAGCATACATTAAGTTCTATAATATATAAATATCTTTAAATCATATTAATTAATTATGAGCACACATACTTTCTATATTCTGACAGAAGTTTCAATAGTTCTTCATCCTTTATTTTATTGTTTTCTTGCCTATATATCGCTGGAAAGTCTGAGGAGGTATCCAATTCATTACTATACAATCTAAACAGTGGCCTAGCAGCCCATGCAAATGGCATTCTATAGTTTCCCAGCCTAAAAAGAAAAAAAAAATGTGCAAAGTCATAAAATAATTTCCTTAATTATCTGGTTACTCATTTAAATCAAGGAGCACTTTGATATTACACAATACAAAAAAATATTTAAAACTTACAATCTTACCTTTGACAACAGGCTCGAACTTGTTTATGCACCTTTAAGCCCAGTCTTGGATCCTTAGTAGCTCTCAAATATGGTTCTGAGATCTGATATATGTTCCCTTGGAGCAACTTGTCTATTCTAACGACGAGAAATATGTCTGGATGAGGATTATTGATGTTGAATATGGCCTGCAACATTGTTTTTCAAACTTTATTTTTTATAAATCCTTATCTCTCTCGCATTTACACATTTATATTTGCAAGATTATATATGATATAAAATTACAAATACAATTCCTTTTCCTTTCACGTACTTAAGTAGTAAGCATACCTGTTTCGGATACTTGATCCAATCTGAAGGAATGTTTTTCAACTCCCCGGGAAGAGTAACATCTTCCGTTTCCGTTATAATTCCTGCAGGACTTAATTCTTTCGTCATATCCCGTACCATTTCATGATTAATATCGAAATGAAAGTTCTCTGTAAGTTTTCTACCGTTTCTCGCGTCAAATAAACTTAATGTTGTGTAATAAGGTTCCACTTGGCACAAAGATTCCTTTTCATCGATAGGCGCTTGCAGTCGAAATTTGAGGCTCTCGCACTTAATAAAAATCCTATGACCAAACTGCTCCTTATAAGGATCCACGTTATCAGCAAATTGCCCTGTATTTATCTTGGCATGAGGTATGTAAGGATACACACTGAATAGTCTTTTTCTGTTCTCTCTCCTTGCTAGAGCAATGCTGGTATCAGTCTCCCTGGAGTACTTTATTAGTTGGGGATTCATGCTTTGTTCAAGGCCCTTCAGTGTGCCATAAACCTAAAATTAAAATATAAAATGATTAAATACATTTATCTATAAAATCTGTTTTTATCTCTGTAGAAAAAAAGTTAAGAATTAATAATCAATTATTAATAATCTGTATAATTATTATTAATAATTTGAAGATAATGATTACATTACCTGCATGGGTTGTGGCGATGGTGGAGGCGTGTTACAAGCTCTCTCCAATGAAGCCGCACGTTTTTCCTCTTGCTGTTTATAATGTTGTAACACAGAACTGAGCTTCAACAACCAATCTTGCATATCGGTCTCACTATCGGCAGCCAGAGTATAAGATTTGTGAGTGTCGCTCATTCGTAGTTCGAAACAATATCTCCCGCGTTTGGAATTTCTAACAACTTCCGTGCAAAAATCCATCACTATTGTCAGTTTTGCCTCTCCCTTTCTTTCATCTTTGAAAAATTCAAGTATATAAGTGCCATCAACTTCCTGCCTGAGATGACAGAAACGTCTCTTGAATGACTTTGAACCAATATGAGCAAACATTCTATCTGTACTACCAATCTCAGGACCTTTCATCAAATAGCCTTCCTTTGTTATACCATCATTTTTTGTTAATTCCTATAAAAATATATACAGTCATGCTTAGTTTTAAATGTGCAATGAAAGTACAATTTCCGCAAGAACATAATATTTAAATAATTCAAAATTTTAAAGTCCCATCTCTCTTAAAAGTATCAATATAGTATATTACAAAACAAATCTAGAATGAAAAAGAATATTACCTCATCTACTTGATCCACTTCTGTATCAATTTCATACACTTCATCTTTTAGATCATCCACTTTTGATATTCTAGAAATTTAAAAAAAAAAGAATATTTCCAAAACAACAGATCAATTTTAGTAATCATAATTAATGTTAGAGATTCACATACCTTGGCAATTCGAGATAAGTTCCACTATATGTTGCATATTTGTAATGTACAAGATTCCAATTAGATGTATAACTATGTAAACATTCTTTTGTCAGGAGGTTTTCCACTCCTTCTTCGTATTCTGTAATATGCTGTGCCGTTGGCACCATACTACGATATCTTCTTGGCAGAACCACTTGCTGCGAAAAAATATGTAAAACAAAATAATATATAATATATAATAAATATAAAAATATATATAAAACAAAAAATAATCATAACTACTATCTTAAGAGAAATATCTCGAATTTTCAATTAAATAATTTTACCTATTTATAAAACAAAATTATAACAAAATAATATATAATATATAAAATATATAAAAAAATATATATATATATATATATATATAAATAATCATGATTATCTACTATAAAATATATAAAAATATATATATAAATAATCATGATTATCTACTATCTTAAGAGAAATATCTCAAATTTTCAATTAAACAATTTTATATATTTATAAAACAAAATTAAAAACATATCAGAAATATAAATTATATAATATATATATTTTATATATATTTTTATCTCGTGTCCTATTATTATTCTTCCTACTAGCTTATCTATAAATGAAACGGATGAAGCTTGTAGATAAGCAATACAAGACTGCTTGATAACTTACGGAAATATCATCCTGAGGATATAGCAGTAATTCTCGCTGAGGATCATTTTGCAACAGTGTCTTATTCTTCAGGATAAAATTCTCAAAATCAATGGGTTCTACCAAGTGTGGTTTATTCTGCGAAAACAGAAAATAAATACATAAATAAAACAATGATACAAATCTCGGAGGACAAATAATTTCCCGATACAATCGTCAAATTTATCATTTTTAAATATTTGTAAAACCTTGATTCTTTTGATAAAGTATGATACGATGAATTTAACTGATAGGCCTGAAAATTCAAAAGATATATTCGGCTTGTTTGTACACCTGACACGTCAACGATAAGGAAACTTCCCGCCTTCCAGATACTCGATACTTCCCGAGTAAACAACACTCCGTTCCGGGGATGGACGAGTGACGTTTCTCGAGGACGTTCCTCGCCTCACCTGCACAGTACTCTCGCGGACGACCTGCGACACGGTTTCCCGCAGCTGCGCCGCCATCCCGGGTTTTCCCAGGCCGCGCGTGAACTTCCTCTCGCTCATCCTCTCGCACGTGCGTCTCGAGCGAGCACGATCGATGCCAATCGATCCCGGATCGGACGATCGGACGTGTTGGAGTCAGGCCACCGCATCGGTCACCGCGCGCGGCTTCGCCGGAAAACAATTGGGGGCATCACCCGCGACCTATTGTGACAATCGATTAAGATCGCCACCAACTCCCGGCGGCCATCACGCTATTCCCCACGTCGCCCCCGGTGCGCGGAGGACGGTACCAACATCGACGCTCGCGTCAACAGCGATCCGATCATCGGGTCTGGTCGAGCGTCGAGTCAGCTGTGTCAGAGTCGTAATCGTCGATTTGGTCCTTATCGTGTAAAAATATGACGACGGCAGCGAGGCCAACCTTCGAGCCCGCCCGAGGAGGGCAAGGTCGAGGCGAGAAGGATCTGAGCGCGATCTCGAAACAATACAGCAGCAGGGATTTACCTTCCCACACCAAGCTTAAGTACAGGTGAGTGGGAGAGAAAGCGAGTTCAAGACACAAATCTGTAATTTGTAATAAATATTGAATACTAATATATAAAAATAAAAATAAAAAAATGCGAAGCATTTAAATAAAAATATGCGAAGCTCCACTCGTATGAGAAATTATTTTCAGGTTATATCATTGTCATCCTCTTCCTCTTTTACTTATACTTAATGTTTATTTAATACTTAATATAATTTACTTATATTTATACTTATAATTAATGTTTTTTTGCAGAGAGTATGGACAGGGGACGGTCGAGGAGCTGCGAAATCGTGATTTTAGGAAAGAATTGGAGGATAGAGAACGAGTAGAAAAGGATAAGGGCTCGAGTCGTCGGGCCATTGAACCTTCCAGAGAATCAACCGCATCCAGCGCAAAGAGACAGAAATTAGACCAAGTTCCTGCGGCCAGCTTAGATGCGGATGATCCACTTGATGATGATGAATCAGATTCTGAGAGCGATGAAGATGACACTGCTGTACTCTTAGCTGAGCTCCAGAGGATTAAGAAGGAACGGGCAGCGGAACAAGCTAAAAAGGTATAATCTGCCACTATAAATTTTCCAAAGTTGATCAAGAGTAAACAACGCAAACTATTTTCAAAATTAATATATGAGTTTTTAGAATAATAAATCAGTTATTTTATAAATATCTCGTGCTTTTTGAAAAACAAAAAGAACCTCATGATAGATAAATCAATTCAATAAAACATTCGTTAAGTAGTTAAATCAGTAGAAAGCACAGTAAATCTATTCTATAACTTTATATGCATCCATTTAAAATTACAAGATAGGCCTGCAAAAATAAATATAGAATTATAATTTTTGCACGATTATAAAAAAAAGTGTAGAGATATATAAAACATACATAAAAAGAATGAAAGTAAGAATCTTATAAATAGATGTTTGCTGAATTTGATAATGAAATACTTTGACCTATTAATTATATTCCTTTGTTCACATTTATATTTTGCAAAAAGTAAAAAAATGCATTATTTTAAATTTTACAGGAGATGGAAAAGCGACAGGAAGAGGAGAGGATACGCATGGAAAATATTCTTTCTGGAAATCCTTTGTTGAATTATTCTTCGCAAAGTGGAAGAGTGGATATGAAGGTACGAAGACGATGGGACGACGACGTTGTCTTCAAAAACTGTGCGCGTTCGGAACCGAAAAAAAAACATGACGTTTTTATAAATGACTCGCTGCGAAGCGAATTTCATAGAAAATTCATGGAAAAGTATGTCAAATAATCTATTACTCTATTAATACTATGTAAATAACTTTTTTAATCGAATAATTGAATAAAGCTGCACCTCTTCATATCTTCATTACATTATTGATCCTAGATAATAGAGAAAAAAAATTATCATTAAATTAATTGTGTGCTATTCCTCATTATTGATATTATAATACAAAGTGATTGCCAGAGAGATTAATTTCAATATATATACATAGACATTAAGTAATTATTCAATTAAGCTAAAATAATAGATGTACTGGTGTATATTTTTTAAATAGAAGAAAAAGAGTTATATTAATGCTTTAGTTTCTTATGAATATTATCATTGCCTATAACTTGAAATAAAAATTTGTATATATAAAGATTATAACAATATATTCTTGTGGTCAGATAAGCAGATATTTTAAATATCTATAAAAATATTTACAATCTATCTTATAAATTAAGATATTTTTTCCTTTTCTGTTTTATTGTAACCATAAATACAAAACTAGAGAATCTTTCACTACTCGCTACATTTAATTTTATATACATATGAAGAAATTATCTGTAAAGGAATAATAATTCTAATACCTAGTTTACTCCATTGTCCACTTTCTCGCGACTTTTAAAATTACCACGGTCGCGCAAGCGCAGAGCCGCACATGCGCGCGCACGGAATGCCTAATCGGAACCACGTGTCAGAACACTGCACGCGTCCGCTGAAACGGGATGGCCGCTCTCAGATTTCTCTCCAACAGCAGGGATTTGCCTTCGCACATGGGGTTGAAGTACAGGTGAGCGGGAGGGAATCACGAGTTCAAGACATGAATCTGTAATTCGTAATAAATATTCAGTACTAATATACAAAAATATGCGAAGCTCTACTCGTATGAGAAACTATTTTAAGAGTCATATCATTGTCATCCTCTTCCTCTTTTATTTACAATTAATGTTTCTTTGCAGAGAGTCCGGACAGGGGACAGTCGAAGAGCTGCGAAATCGTGATTTTAGGAAAGAAGGAGGATAGAGAACGAGCAGAAAAGGATAAGGGCTCGAGTCATCGTGCCAATGAACCATCCTGAAAATCAACTGCATCCAGGGCGAAGAGAAACTAGATAAAGTTCCTACGGCCAGCTTAGATGCAGATGATCCACTTGATGATGATAAATCAGATTCTGAGAGTGATGAAGATGACACTGCTGTACTCTTAGCCGAGCTTTAGAGGATTAAGAAGGAATGAGCTAAAAAGGTATAAATCTATGCTATTATAAATTTTGCAAAGTTGGTCAAGACTAAACAACGCAAACTATTTTCAAAATTAATATATATGAGTCTTCAGAATGATAAATCAGTTATTTCATAAATATCTGGTGCTTTCTGAAAAACATGCAAAAAAACTCATGATAAATCAATTCGATGAAACATTGTAGTTAAATCAGAAAGAGCACAGCAAATATATTCTATAACTTTACATGCATCCATTTAAAATTACAAGAGGCCTGCAAAAATAAATATGATTATAACAATTTTTTATGAAAAAAAAATGTAGAAATATATAATAAACATATGTAAAAAGAATGAAAGTAATAGAATATAAATAGATGTTTGCTGAGTTTGATAATGAAATACTTTGGCCTATTAGTTTTATTCCTCTGTTTACATTTATATTTTATAAAAAGTAACAAATGCATTGTTTTAAATTTTGCAGGAGATAGAAAAGCGACAAGAAGAGGAGAGGATATCTTATCCATGGAAAATATTCTTTCTGGAAATCCTTTGTTAAACTATTCTTCGCAAAGTGGAAGAGTAGATATGAAGGTACGAAGACGATGGGACGACGACGTTGTCTTCAAAAATCGTGCATGTTCCGAACCGCGTAAGAACAAACATGATGTTTTCATCAATTCTCTGCAAATTTCATGGCAAATTTATGAAAAGATACGTTAAATAATCTATTAGTATTAATATTATGTAAATATGTAAATAACTTTTTTAATGAATATTATATTGGATAAAGCAATATTTCTCCATATCTTTATTACATTATTGATCTTAGCTAGATAATAGAGAAAAAAATTATGATTGAATTAAATTAATTGTGTGCAATTCCTCATTATTGATATTATAATACAAAGTGATTGCCAGAGAGCTTAATTTCAATGTATATACATTTTAGCTTATTTTAGCTTATTTGAATAATTATGTAATGTATAGACATTGTAATGTATAGACATTGTAATGTATAGACATTACATAATTATTCAAATAAGCTAAAATAACAGCGATATATATTTTTTAAGTATTTTTTAAGTAGAAGAAAGAGTTATATTAATAATACTTTAGCTTCTTACGAATATTATCATTACCTAAATTTGAAATAAAAGTTTGTATATATAGAGATTATAAAAATATATTCTATTTTTTATAGTTCTCAGATAAGCAAATATTTTAAATATCTATAAAAATATTTACAATCTATTTTATAAATTAATTTAAGATATTTTTTCCTTTGTTTGTTTTATTGTAACCACAAAACTAGAAAATCTTTCACTCTACTCGTTACATTTCATTTTACATACATATGAAAAAAATATCTGTAAAGTAATAAAATTTCTAACAATATTTATTAGTGAAAGATTACTGTATATATAATGCTATCCAAATAAAATATTCCTAATTTGGTTCCATCGCAGATATCCCTTAATCTCTACTAAAGACAAATTGATCTGTTCCACTGGTCAAACGCTTAAAAAGAAAAAGTTTGCGGGGGTGCGATCTCCCGCTTCCGTAGATTCTTGGCTCCGTAATTGTCCGCGGTACACGTATGATTAAATAATGAACGTGGTATATCCTTGGCGGTTCATCTGCATAAATGCCATCTCCCTCTCGATCCGTAAAAGTTTTGTATCTCTCAACTGTGGATTCCTGCCTATCTCCACCTTCCCCCTTCTCCGCACCACTCCGACGTTTCGTTCCTGATTCGTATCTGCGATCCGTACGCCTTCAAGTATGTGTATGGCATGCGTGTATATGTACGGTAGCGATCCGGTCTCGGACAGTGCGCAACGAATCGCGCGCTGGGTCAAGTATAACCGGTCCCGAAGGGGCCCTACGGGGCCTGTGGCAGCAGGCAGTCTACCGGTGCAGCTGGTTATCGCCAGTAGACTTCTTGGCACCGACTTGACACCGACATGGCCAACCGACTTAACGCACTCGGCCAGTCGTCGTCCCACAAAGAGACAACGGAGCTCGAGAGGAGCGTATCTCTGAATTAACATAGGTGGATGATAGAGGACTTCGCTTGGCGAAATTGATGTCGATTTCCAATCGTCGAGAGAAATCGAGATCTAAAAATATTTAAATATTAATTTCTTTTGCTCTCGTTCCTTCGATTCTGTTTCCTTTGCTTTTTTCGGTAACACGAGCTCTAGAAAATTATTATCGATTCCCTCGAAGAATGATCGTATTTTAAAATCTCATATTTGGTCACATTAGGGTATATTTTCACTGAAAAAAAGAAATTTAAAAATTCTAAAAATACAAATTTCCAGTGATTAAAATATTAAAACTAAAAGCGAAAAGATAACTTTTGTCTTCCTAATTGATACGACTATGACTTTTTAACATGCAAGATCAAAATTTAAACATTCTAAACATTGAAGAAAAAACATTGTAAATAAAATTCTACTTTACATTATTCTGTGTACGTAATGGTTAAATTGCAATCTGAAAAAAAAAAGTTTTAAGAAAATTTCATACATATTTTTTCGATAAATCCACTTTTTCTATGATTGAGTCACAACAAGAATTCGCTTCAAGACATTTTCATCTACTCATATCTTCCGTATCTTATCTGCATATTTTTTCATACGTGTACAAAATAATCAGGATATATATTAACTCAATCAAAATGTCAATTTTCGAAATATATTAATATTCCCATAAGTATATTTCCATAGAAAGTATAAACATTTGCATATTTCCTGTCGTAATCACGCGTGTGACCAGTTCTTTTCGATGCAGAACAATTTAAAATTTGATTAGATTAAACGAAAGATTTGTGTAAGATTGAGAAATGAAGATTAAAAATTGGAAAACTTTAATTACATAATTGTTTGTTTCAAAGTTTCTATTAGATCTCTTTTAATCTTATTATAATCGAGAGAAGAACGATTCTCTTAAATCAAAAGCATCAGATATATTGAATAAATTTAATCCGAATAAAATTAATTAAGTAAAAGTTTAAAAAATGAAGCAAATTTTTTGGAAAGATGCGAATGTATACGGATTTGTTTTCAAGGAATAATTTCTTTTTTAATTGGCTTTGAATAAAGAATTAGCGAAGTTCCGATACGTATTTTTATTCATACGCCGCTCGTATCACCTTCATTTGATATTTGCGGCTTGAATTCACTTTCACCAGAGACCGCTAATCAGTTACACATTCTGTTCCTTTTACATTTTATGGAATACACTATGTATACAAATGTACATCTATCAAAACAATACGCAAAAATTATATTTGTCTAAATATATCGATGATGTTGATCGGTAAATAAAAGTTGGTCGTTAATCTAATTTAATATAGTAATCTTAAGAGAAATGCGCCAATAAAACGGACATCTTCAAAGAGGTATTTTGTGAAAACAATTTCATAAAATTAATCATTTCATAGGTGATTTTTTTTTCAATCACTTGACACCTCGGAATCGACTGTCTTTACTGTCGTATCTTATTAAATGTAAATAGGAATGCGATCTCCAAGCTAAAGAGATATTAGTTACCTACATAGAGAAATTTTTTTACAGCCTCTCACACGGGCCGCCATCGCGTCCTCTAGTCCTGGTCCACGATACCACCTCGTTAAAGAGAGTCGAGTTATCGGCGACCAGTCCTGGTTGCCAATATTAACCGCCTACTCGTTCGTCAGGGGCGGTCCTACCTCTAGGATCCAGGAACGTGCGAATAACGAGTCACAAAATTAGTTTCAGCTTCTACTGCGCTTCAAGAGTCCAGATGATTCTGTAAATTTTCTGTAATTTTAACATCCCACGTACAACTACTGACTTAAAGATTTATTAAATATATTTCATACCTGGACATTAATTATTTCTAATGAGCATCATAAAGCTTCAGTTATTACCTAAACCTCTCGACAATGTTATAATTGACGATGTCGGAGAATCCATTCAGATAAATGTATAAAATTAAATTGGAAATAGGAAAATCTCAGCTCTTCTATTTCTCAAGATATCATGACTATATCTTCTTTCTTCCTCATGTGTTATTCTATTTTAAAGATCAGAGACGCTGTTAAATAGAACTTACGATCTAATTCGGATTATAAACTGTTACGAAACAGCAAGTGACAATGAGGCCATACATTTGCGTGTCGTAAACGAAGACTAACAGGATGGCAAGCACTCGGGGAGAGAAAAAATCGACGAGTTGGCGATGGAGAGGCGGGAGTGGGGCCGATCAGGACCCATGGTACGGGCCTGGGAGGCGGTGAGCTCGCTGAGAGACGACTTGGGACGACGACTGGCATGGGCCAGACAAACAGACTGCCACTGGCATCGCGAGAGTTGCCAGGAGTCATCCACGGTGACCTATGGTCATTCACAGTCCATCGACGACGAGCGTTCGCGTTGATTCTCGTGTAATCTGTGACGGACGCATCTCGCGAGATCATCGGATATTATTTTAGAGATACGTACTACTGATCAAAGAGCACGATTATTCGTTGTCACGGATAATCGGTCCTGATCCTGATTTGTCATTTCTGCGATACTGCGTTATTACGCTGATAAAGTGTGCTGAAGAACTATTGAAATACTGAAGAAGAAACAAGGTATATATCTCGCGCAAAGTAACCGATCGTTTTGTGATCAACAGTCACCGCCGATTGACTTGCCTCTTTCGGGAAGATTGACAAGATGATATGCGCGGACAGATTGACACGTTGTGTTTTCGCGAGTGAAGAGACAGACGAGTGAAACCAAAGATAACATTTGTGACAATTATTTCTGGCATAACGTAAGAGTATCTTCAAAGCGAAAACGCCAATCTGATCAACAGAAAAGACGCGATGCACCGTAAATTTTTCATCTCTTTGATCGAAGTCGTCAAATTCCGACACAATCGTATCGATGCAAACTATATGATACGCACCGACGAAAACGACGATCGTGGCAATCGTTTTCTTCAAGAGTTCCGAGGTACCAGCGGAAGACGAAACAGCGGAACTAGTCGCAGTACGAGAGCATCAAGTCACTAAGGACATTCGAGGACGAGGTTGCTGATTGTAGTTGTCCGCGAGCGCGCACACAATGTCCATATTCCTGACAACGAAACCGCAACACGCGCAGTCGATCAAGATCACCGTTATTCAAGAATCTCGACCGCCAACTCGCGATCGAGTCATTAAGTCTCCAAAGATTGTAAGCTGTTTTAGACTGTTTTAGACTGTGAGGTTCTTGAAATGAACAGCTATTAAGTTACCGAACATTTCCAATCCATTCGGTGATCCTTGAATCGTTCGTTTTTGGCATTCGTTCAGGCGTTCCAAATAGTTGTAGAACTCTTCAGAATTGATTGCTGAAAAAAAAACACATGTGTTTTATACAGTGAAAGAATTATAGGAATTATAAAATAAAGATCCAAAACTTTTCTTTTGTGGATAGAGAAAAGCGGAGAAAAAACAAAGGAAGAATCTACAAGGAGAGGAGTTGGAAAAATTTATTTAGTGATTAGTCGCGCGAATCGAAGCAACTCTTGAATCTTGAAGAGAAGATACTAAACAAGAGGACAGAAAGGAGGAAAGATAGAAAGGAAAAGAACCTTGCAATTAAATATACATCGGTCTCTCTTCTCTTCAACGTCGTCAAGATGTCAGTCTGGCCTTTTTCCATCCTGTTGCTCCTCGCGACGATCCTCGGCGACCTCATCAGCATCGGTAGCGCCGAGAAGATGACCGGTGTATACGTGGACAATGGTTTCGATCAGACGGTGGTCCATCGTGTAGTCAGCCAGCATGAGAAACGCGAGTTGGAGCATGAGTTTCTCAACCTGTTGGGACTCCCGGATCGTCCGCGAAGCATCATCGACATGCCTCCCCAGGTCAAGAGATCGGCGCCCAAATTTCTGCTGGACATTTATAAGAATGCCCTCGGCGAGGACGAGGAAGAGAAGCCTGCGGCGCATCATCATCGCAAGGCTGGAGAGTTCGACCTCACTGGCCAGGATCTGAAGGCGATCGATCAGAGCGATGTCATCATGACCTTCGCCGCACACAGTGAGTGATTCCGAATTGAATTTCAGAAGCTTTCAATTACTGAAAAAAAATAGACATTAGTACAAAGTATTTGGAAATATTTAGATCCTTCGATTTTTCCACTTGCTAAAATCGCAAACCTTCAATCAAATTTTTTAATCAGACTAATGATAAAAAGAGATTTTCTCGCGAATTAGGCTTTACAAACCTAAGTAAGGAATGCTTATTTATCTTACGCCAACTTAAACAATACTTGAAGCAGAGAATCATATAAATAGAAACATATCAATATTGAATTTCGAAAAATTGCAAGAAGATCAAATTAGATTTTTACTAAGACAGAATCGGTCGTCAGATTCATCGAAGAATCTATATTGATTAAAAAGTTCTGGCACAAATGAAGTGATATCTTCCTCGCGTTCATACGTTCATTCACCTGACGATATTCGTATCAAAACGACCAAATGCAAATGATTTATCTGACGTGTGGCATCCCTGCTGTTTCGAGGAAGAAATAATTAGCTGATATCATTTTGCTGATGAGAATATAAATATATATTAATATATGAAAACATATTATAAATATTATTATAATATATATCATATATTATAATATTAAATTATAATATATTATAATATATTATAATATTATAATATAATTATTATAATATATAATATATTATAATATTATAATATTATATTATATTATAAATATTATAAATATATGAAAACATAAGAAATAGAAAAAGAATCGTTTGAATCGTTTTTCTTCTAAAATCAGTCTTAAAAATGATCTCGAACAAGAAGTAGATCATCTAAAAAAAATTTCTTTTACTTAATGAAGTATCTTTTCGTAATTTTCGAATTCCTCGTAATATTAAGCATCCTTGAAAATGTTCTCCCGAAAAAAAGTGATAATTTCTTTAAAGAGAAATCGAGAGAAATTAAAGAAAAAAAAAGATATTTTTTCTTATCGCGAACATTCCTGAGGGATGAAATCACGAGGAGGATGAGGAACACGCGCTCTCGACAAATGTAAAATTTATCAGATTATATTGTCACTATCTGTTTTACGACTGAATCAAAATTCTACGCAACCTCCGATAAAAATTTGAGATAAAATCTCTACTCTCTCTTTTCTTCTCTCTCTCTCTCTTTTTCTACTCGCAACGCAGATCGCGATATGAATGATACAAGGAATCGATTGAAGCATCGAACGAGATATATTTCGCGAGGATGAGATAAGAAGAGAGGAAAGAGGAAGAGGGAACATCAGATTCCTCGGAAACCCGTTACTGCCTCCTCCTCCTCCTTCCTCTCTCCTTTCTGTTCGTATGTCTGGTTTTCTATTTCGCTGTCGTCCTCACGTCGGTGAGAAACGTTCTAGACCATTCGACGCGAAATGCGGAATGCATATAAATCCGATAAGCTGTAACAAGTCGCAGAGATATCGTTGCGAACGCGGGACAAGTAGCTAGAGACAGAGAAAGAAAGAGAGAGAGAGAGAGAGAGAGAGAGGCAGGGGGATGGAAGCATAGGGATGCAAGAGAACCGAAAAATAGAGACGGGTAGGATTAATTCAGATACACACGCGCTCGCCATAGGTCGTATATCTTATGTACAAAGTTTCTCCCCGTCCCTCTACCATCGTGGGATACCCCCCTGGGAACGACGAGTCAATAAGTATTCGCCTTCTCTCTCTTTCTCTTTCCTCGCGCGAAGCCACGGGCAGGTTAAAATGTCTCAACTTGGGGGCCCGAACTCGTCCCGCGCGTCCTTTTGCTCCCTTTTCCCACTTCTCTCCCGTACAATCTTCCTTCTTCGCGCGGACAGCGGGACGGCCGACTGCCCGGGGGAAGAATGGCATGGCTACGAATTATGAAGATTAGAACGCTGGATCCTGGAGATGGATGGATCCGCGGCGGAATTAAATGTAACGGGTCTAATCGGGAGAGAAGAGTCTACGCGAGAATATTTCGTTTTCTCTCCCTTTATTCATTCGCGATACGCACGTATGCGCTTATCAGAGTATCATCTTAGTTCCTTGACAGGAAGAAGTCACGTGTCAACGTGACTTCTTCCTGTCGCGTGTCGAATTGGACGATGGCAAAAATGTACGCTCTCAAAAGGACTAAAGATCCATCAGGAATTAAGAGGGAACGTTCGTGAAACTCTATTCTATCCCTCTTCTCTCTCTCTCTTTCTCTGTCTCTTACCGTCTATACACATACGAAAACACGCGTAAGGAGACGCGAAGGGGGAGGCGATGGGAAGGTACAGTGCGGCGGCACGGCGTAAAAAACAAAAACGTACGGCTCACCACAGAACGTTCCAAGACGGTCCCAAAAGCTATTTGGGACCACCCCGAGAGTCGAGGAGGCCCCGGCAATCTGGTACCGTTGGAATGCGACCGTCGGAACGAAAAAACAAAACAAATTTTTATGTCCTCCCCCTCCCCCTCATTCTCCCCTCGCGTTCCTCTTCGGATCTCGCCGCCCACTTCAGTAGAGGCATTAGGCATTACTTAGAGACCCCCCCCCCCTCCGTCCCGACATCAAGTCTACCGCGAAGGAAGGGTACTTCTCTCTTACTACCTTTCCTTTGCTCGCAGGACGGCGGCTGCTTTGGCGGAAAGAAAGAGGTCGATTTCACGCTGCGAATTGTCCACGATTCATTTCTAAGGGCCTCCTCGTAGAGTTCAAGTGGTCTCACCAAGGGTCCTATTATCGACTGGTGCTTCTTTCATGCAGGTTTTGTTTCGCGATAACGAATATCTCCAGAAATGTTATCTTCTCGATGGGGAGAACGGCTATTTTACCGTTCCATTGTAAATTTTCGTAAGAGGTTTTCGTAAAGTGGTTTCTGACTAAACTTTAAGCCGCAGGTTTCAAGGTTGAGTCACATCGATAAGCTAAGAATAGCCATTTGCATCCCTAAAAATACTTTACATTAGTAAAATTCCAAAAGAAATAGAAATATATACGTATTTTCGAAATCTTGATAAGCATAATCTTAATCTTGATAAGCAATATCTTAATAAGCATATAGAATTTTTTCGACATGTCGCAATGTTATAATCATATATCAAACATATAAAGCTGTACATCATGTACATTTTATATGATGATATAAGTATAAATTTTGAAATCTTATGATTTTCAATAAAATTGATTCTAAAAATCAAGTGTGCGAGCTTTTGTGTTGCATAATTATTATTGTTGGCGCTTCTGAACTGATCGTAGACTTGTAATTTAAAATAGATCATCATGTCCCCGGGGTGAGGCATGAACGTGGGAAGAGACTCTGGTTCGACGTGTCCGAAGTACCACCTCAAGAATACATAATCGGTGCTGAACTCAGGCTGTATCGCAGCGCGGACGTTAAGGGTCGCAAGAATCATGGATCTCACACGATTACCGTGTATCGGGTGTTGAAGACCGAGAATGGGTAAGAAAAATTATATATCCATACGTTTATCTCATGAAATTATACACTGCTTCTAATCTAGAATGTACGAGAAAAAAGTTAAGGAGTTGTTAGCGAACGTAATATATGGAGACTCGAATTTTAAAAAAGCTTGCAAAAGATTGAATGACATTTTCCACGTTATTAATAATAAAACAGGAAAAATTATATTAGTCGTTCGCTCGCTTTTGTGCCAAGGACGCCTGGGTTAGACCAATTTCATATTCCTTCGGGCATCTTTCGCGGTTTTTGACATCGTCATCGTAGCCTTAATTAGGAGGTCCTTAATCCCCTTCGCCGAAAAAAGTCCCAAGTATTTGTTCTACCTGCAGAGGGAGAATATTCCGGACGTCCTCCTTCATCCTCGACTTCTCCATCCTGTCTCTTTCTGTATCTTTCTCATTCGGGGACGAGGGACATTTGGACTTTCACTCAATCCTCTCTCTTATTATCATATCTGGAAATTATAATTAGGTATTAGAGGTTTAGAGGAAAATTACTTGCAAGAACGATATGTAAAGAACGGATAATCGATAGATGACTATCGAAAGTATATCGCAATTCATAGATGATGGACGGTAGCCACAAGACCACCGGCAGGCGCCATCCCGTTCGGATGGGAACTGAATCGTAAAAAGGAAAGCGTGGTGAGTTAATCCGAGAGGGCAAACCTCCTCTACGCCGGCGGTAAACGGCGACGGTCTGTCTAGAGACGCTTCATCTATATAATAGACGTACCGCTCCGTCACACATATTGTGAATCACGAGACGATCCATCACCGTTAACGGCCATCGTCGTAATTTTTCTTAATGCTTGTAAATGTTAGAGTATTTTTAAGTATTCTTTATATCAATTTTCATTCATATCCGCATCTCTTAGACCTCTAATTGTCCTTCAAATTCATCGAAAAATTAATTTTTGTAGCCAATTAAAATAGTACTTCTTCTTCAGAATTCTAGCCAACGTTAGCTGAATAATGAAAGACTTAATGGACGTTATCTGATTATTTCAAGTATAATCAGCTTCATATCCGCATCTCTTAGACCTCTAATTGTCCTTCAAATTAATCGAAAAATTAATTTTTGTAGTCAATTAGAATAGTACTTCTTCAGAATTCTAGCCAACGTTAGCTGAATAATGAAAGACTTAATGGACGTTATCTGATTACTTCAGGTATAATCGGCTTCTTTAAATTCCTATGCAGAAGTTCATGATATAGGATAAATACCCAGAAAGGAATAGCTACTATTGTTCTAGTTATCTGTTCAGTCTTGTCGCAGTTTCGACCACTTAGTAGCCACTCGACTTTTCAGCCTTTTGATTTACTATGAGGAATTGTAGAGTGACAGCCGACAGCACGTCTCACTTTGTCCTTCTCTCCCTCCCCGGGAGTTTTGGTGGCATTACGACCTGAGTCTGACCGATATACCGAGCCCCGACAGGAAACACTATTCCGTAAATTGAGGTAAATTAGCCGTGGAGACGGGCTAACAGGCTCTCTTCGTGTTCTCCGTCTCCTCCGCCTACGCAGTTGCGTTCAGAGGCTGCGTCTGTCTCTCTCTATTTCTCTCTCCTCTTCTTACCCTTTTCGCCGGCTGTTTCGGCTCTTTCCATCAAAGTCAAACTATGCGTGACGCATCCTCCACCTCCTCCTTTTCCTCCTCCTGCCTCTTCTTCGTCGCGAGACAAGCTGGCGACTCGTTGCTTTCGTAATAAGATCTCTTCGCGGTACATCATTATGTTACGGAATTCCAATGGTAAACGTGCTTCTTGAACTGAGAGAAGTTACATTTGAAATTAAAATGGCGAGATATCAATCTCTTGTAGATGAAAATTCAAACAAAGCTGCTCAAGAATTTCAAAAATTTCTAAAGCCTCGTTGATTTGAAAACAAGTTTATGCATTATTATGTCATGCGTGTGAAATTTATTACATTTAATTTTATGCCACGAGTAATAAAAATATTAAATCCAAATTATTTATGCGAATAAGTAATATAGACAATTGTTGCAGAATTGATCTCATTTTCTATAATAAAAATTGCGTTTTCTCTTTCGAGATGAAAGATTGCTTAGACATTCAATTTAAATTCATCAAAATAATAAATTGAATGCAATCTTTATTCGATCGCGTGGGAAATCAATTGAAAAGCTCGATTTTAAAGAAGACGCGCAGCTCGTTTAATCACGATAATCGATCTGCAGAAAAGCTAGATGCTGTGATCATTTCCTTAATGAACAATGATCGACGTGTGTTTCCTTACCCAGTCCTTATTGATGCGAGGCACGCGCGAGGCTTCACGATTAATTGGAAATTACAATCCGGAGAATCACGACAAGGCATCTTTGTACTGGGATACGTCACGTGTAACGATCTCGGAATGCTGTTGAGAACACAATATTAACTTTCCGTCAAGCGTATATGTGTACATACGTCTTATCGATTAATACAAAACAACAATACCTTGTCATTGCACCATAGTTAGTAAGTGTGTATGATATTTGCATTTTCGTGCAATATAATCAATTGAAATCTGAATTAAGATTTAAATATATGCTTCGTGACATAGCAAATTATCTACAAATGTAATTTGTAATTTAACTAAGGAATTTCTGCATGTGCATGAATTTTTATATTCGAGAATATTTTAGGATTACTCGTTTTCATTTTAAAAATATAATCAATTTTCTAAAATATTTTAATAATTTTTTTAATAATGTAAATTTCAATAATATAATTTTAGATATATTTAAACCGAACTTCAAAATAAATTGTTAATTTTTAAATGCATAATTTTTTAATATTAAATGTTAAATAGTTTGCGACATATCGTATTTTAATATTAAATTCTACAAATTATAGATTAGAAAATTAATATAATACACACGCATGAAAGAAACTATACTAATTTATCGTTTAATGCAAATCCGGGCATATCATAGAAATATATTATTTAATTTTTCAGGACTCGAGAGTTACAGTACGTCGATGCCATAAATATGACGACCAATCAGGAGGGTTGGCTGACATTGAACGTTACCGGGGCTCTCGATCATTGGGTGAATAATCCTGATGAAAATCGAGGACTATATCTCTCTGTGCATCCCGCCGATCGTTTAGGTGAGCAGGATATTTATTTCTAATTGCATCTCTGTTATTTTCATCTCAAGGAAATCTACAAAGTCAAGCCACTTACAATTAGTCAAGATTCGAAATGTCAAAATAGAGAGTCGCGTTCTTCATTTACATAAGAGATTGTTAATGATGTAATAAAATGTGATTTTCTAACAAAGAGAACATTCTCGCATTAAGAGTTTTAAGGAAGCATTACTTCACCTTTATGGATGAGAGTCTTTTCTATTAACTGTGTTTCTGTTCAAACTTCTCAGCCCGACTTCTTGAGAATAGCGCGCTAAATATAGAGCGGCTTGATGTAAACACGTCCGATGTTTATTGAGATTGGGTCGCGAGCAAAGCGCGAATTCAAGCTTTAACTCTTACGTTATTTGGAAATGTACCTGCTTTCAAAGATGAGAAAAATCACGGATCAAAATCAATCCAATATCAATCAATCAAGTATTAAAGATTAAAAACCCGTTAAAGATCTGTTACGTACTATATTTGTTGTGACTTTGAAATAGTTTATTTGGAGGAGTTTTTAGTCGAATATATCCTTAACGATCATGTGCATTCGTATCTCTGCTCAATGTTACACCTGTTCAGCGCTCTCACTGCCATACTTTTGTTTTGCTAAGCTCGTCGTGTACGTGACATGAAAGATTAGTAGCCTTAACAATAGCCTCTGTTGAATCTTGAGTCTCTTCCTGGTCTTCTCTATTTGATATCGTTGATGCTTAGTTAGCGTTTTATTTTAGTCTTGTCGAATCCTTGATGCTGCAAATTTTTAATTGATTCAAATCCTCGTCATAGAAAAAGATTGACAGTATTTGTTCAAGATTTTGATTTGACTCGTTAACCAAATCCTGAACATTATTACAATCGCAAAGTTACATAAAATAAATTTCAAAATATTGAACATTTATAAACATATAATTTCTTTATAAAATTTAAGTTGTCATTTGTTTACAATATTTTCCTCTCGATATTGTTACATTTTCTCTTTATATTCTTCATGACGCGATTATCTTATAATTAGACGTAATGTCCCTTATTGCTTTTAAAATCAGATGTTATATTCCCTTGAATAAGTTTCCTTGATCATGTTCGCGATTCACTCGCACACTTTGTTACTATTCGGGATACATCGTCTCTACGATGGCTTCCCACACTGATGAGATATACTCACGAATGCGAGATGTACTCGCGTTGAATTCAAGAGGACGAGCAATCTTAAGTAGGAAAAGAAAGAGAAAGAAAATAAAATAAAGTAAGAAGAGACAGAGATTGAATCCGATTCGGTCATTGAATCTCTCTGCACGAGGACAGTTGAGGAAGGAACATCGATAAGAGAACAACATCTGTTTACTAGATTATCAAGATAAAACATCTACTTGATGCCATAATACAAATATAATGGTTTTTACAAAAGACATTGTTTGTTTTAACGTTTGGAAGTATGGAATATTGAATATTTTTTAAATATATTTGGAATATTAGATACTTTTTTAATACATTTTCTATAGAAATTATTCTATTTTGTTGTCAAATATTTAGATATCTTTATATTCGACTCGGCAAAGGATAAAAAAAAATAATTTCTTCAATTCTGGCAACCCGTATAAAAATTGTAATAACATTGAACGTATTAATGTGAGCATAAGTAACTCAAGTGTACACAAATTGTGCGCACATGTACATGCATTTGTATGCGCGTTTATGGATGACAGTGTGCACGTGTACGTGTGCGGTTTGTTGTTTGCCGCGCCTAGATTATTTCATTACTTGCTTCTCTCTCTCTCTCATCTGGCCGCTTTCCTCTTTCCTCTTGTCTCACTCTTGAGAACGCGCAACCGGTTTACCTTTGATCGTTCAATATAAAACGCAAGATCGGAGAGTCACATGCCTCTCACGAATCTTTACGCCTGATTCCTGCCTCTTTCTCTTTCTTTCCTACCGCGTGTTTCTCTCGCGAGAAACTCCAAGGATACACCGCCTATATCTAAATATAAGCTAATCCTAAATATAAGCTAACAATAATCACATGTTCACACGGCTCTATAGTAGAGTTTCTTCGAATCTATGATGACAGTTTTAACAGAATTATTCAAAAATCTCAAATGTCCAAAATTGTACTACATTTATCGGAGATTGTAATTACGTTCTTATATTCTAACTGATAGAAAAGCATACATCTAACACTGATCATTCATTCGTCGATCGATTGCAAGCTGAGGCTTCCTAATCGGGAGACCGTGTGTTTCCACAGCCGACCATGAATGGGAAAAGACGATAAAAATTACTTGAACTTGAATTACACTTGAATGCGCGATGTCTCTCCCATCCGCTCCGAGAATCCCGTCGGTGCATTCCTCGAGCGCGCAAAGTGCAACAACTGCGGCGGCAGGTGTCCGCCGCAATCACGGCGAATGCGCATTCCTGCCGGTCAATTTACTAGCTTTCTCGGACTCGCGGGAGCGCATGCTGCACCATCGGCGATAGTAGATATCCCCAATCATTTGCATACGACGATTCGCCGCAATCAGGTATTTAGCGTCGAGGAATCATCGATTTGCACAGCATCTAAAATTATTGAAATACAATATATTAGAAAAAAGAAACATTGACTTCTCTCCCAAGACTTCACAATAAGGAGAGAGGGGAAATATCGAAAAATAATTAAGAGAAAGTTGAATTTTCTCTAACACTTAGACTTATTAGATATTATGAAGTTATCAAATGTTTCAATAAATAATTCATTTAATCACATAGATATAAAAAATAATTCAAATATCGCAATCCTGGAATTTTCCAGAGTAATTAAGACAAGACGATTGAATAGTTGGCGCATTCAAAGTGAATGTCTAAGATAGGCCAGCTGCGTGACTTTGCGCCGAGATTCTTGATTCTTGAGCGTTCAATATTCATGAAGGTTGACTATTAATAATCCCAAGAGAGACGCATTCTAATAAACATACATTTATCCAATACATTCCACTTACAGAAGTGATTCCGTGTAAAGAAATATGTAAACAGGAGTTCTCTGTTTTCGCGTCGCAAAACGCGACGATTCTAATGTGTCAAGAGTAACGATACTTCGATTTAAAAATACATACCGATATTTTTACCACTTCTTTTTACAGCACAAATATATATTTCTCTTTTCTTTCTTTTTTATATTATTGCTTTCTCCTTTTCTTATTTCTTTTATAATTATACTTTCGGAATTGTCTCTTTGTTATGCATCTCTTCCAAATATATTCCCAGAATAAATTATCACTATTATGACTAGTATCATATAAGTTATTATCTCTTCTTCATTCGCTTCTTCAATAAATACATCGTATGTGCAGTACACGAAGTGAGGCCGGAAGATATTGGGATCGTAGAGTTCCGAGGAGATCCTGATAAACAACCCTTCATGGTAGGCTATTTCAAGAGTTCGGGCATAAGGGAGTCCAAAGTCCGGCAGAAACGCGATGCCAGAAGGAAGAAGAAGAGCGAATCCACTAATTGGGATTACAAGACAAATCCTTACACTGGTACGCATACTGTGTATAAAGTTATAGTATCGACTCAATTGCAATGATATAAAATTTGACTAGAAAATCCGTTTGTCAAACTTGATGAAATTTGTAAATTGATGAAATGCTTGTATTGAAAAGTATATTTTTTTTCTCACAGATCCTGGTGCGACATTTTATTCGCGAACATGCAGAATCCAAACATTGTACGTCAGTTTTCGCGATTTGCAATGGCAGGTGAGTGACATCAGTCATATCTTGTATCTTTTCATCCCCTGTTGCATGTCGTTGGATTACAATGTCAGAGAAGTGAAAAAAATCAGATAATTATTTGTCTCCTTTACATCCGACATGACTGCGATGAGGAACTTTAAATGATGCATTATTTCTTATGATCTCTTGATGTTCCACAGGATTGGATTATCGCGCCAGATGGGTACGATGCCTACTATTGCAGCGGTGAGTGTAACTTTCCGTTGAACGCTCACATGAACGCGACCAACCACGCTATAGTCCAGACGTTGGTGCACTTGTTGAATCCAGGTAAAGTGCCCAAGCCCTGCTGCGCGCCGACCAAGCTCTCGGCCATCTCGGTCCTATACTTCTTAGACGAGAGTAATGTCATTCTAAAAAAATACAAGAATATGGTCGTCAAAAGTTGCGGTTGTCATTAAAATTATCTTCACAATTACTTCCCACGTTCTATTATTGGAACTGGAATCTCGGCAAGTTAAAATTAATAAATTTAGCAGAAGTGTAATGAAGGAAACGAATTTACCTCCCTTATATTTTATATAAAAATTGACATGTTTTACCTCTTCTATATTTTAAATAAGAAAATTGACAAATATTATTGCGTAATTTTTGAGTAACAAAACTGGGACGACACGAGATACAAATTATTTCTATTCATAAATCCATCCCAGCTGTTTATTAATTTTATATATAACTCCACTTCGGTAAAAGTATAAAAGAGATTATTATACATTTAAAAATTAATCTATAGATTAATCAAATCAGTCAGACAAGTTGTCAACAACATAAATAGTTAACTGAATAATAAAATTTTTTGCATAATATCATACTAATAATGACATCGCTGATTTCCTTGCAATACATGTTGTAGAGCAGAACGCATTCATAGAGATAAAATGTTTGCGCAAAAGAAAAAGTTATCTTAGGCGAATCGACTTAATTTATAGCGAAGAATCATACTTTCTCGATTGCGATTATTACAAATGAATCAATGATTACCAAATAGTTTTTGTATTTATAGCATAGACGCATTGAGATGTATTTAAATGGTGACATAAATTATTAATAATTAAACCTGTAAGCGCGTATTAGTTATAAACATGTATAAAATCAGACAGTTATTACATGTTCATTTTAGATTGTAAGTTCTGTATATCATCATTGTAAATATACCTTTGTATATACTTTCTACTACATATGATATTTGTCAGTCTCACAAATAAATGCATATTATTATGCAATATGAGCATGTAACAACAGTTTTTTTATATTTTCGTCTCAATAAAATTTTGAAGATAAATTTATAATGTTCTTAAAATATAATAGATTTTTATAAATTATAGTGGAGCACACATTAAAGTTCTTTTGATATTTTATTATTTTTTTGTAACTTTATGCTTTTTTGTTTTAATTATTACACAGTGTCAAGTCTAATAGCTAATTATAATATAAAAAAGTAATAAGAGTTTTCTTATTCAGTAGCATTTATAAAAATGTATATAAAAATCATTAATATTTACCTTTAAATGAGCAATTTTCAAGTCTTTAAAATTAATTCTTCACTAACCATCCATATTAACATTATATTTATAATTAATTTGATCTCTCGGTAAAATCGACATTATTATTTTGCATAAGAGTACATGCCTTAAAGATATGTATAAATACATATAAATATACTTCACATTATACAAAAATCTATAAAAGAACGAATTAATGAAATACCTTAGATTATAAATATTAATTGTATTCTTTATGTTTTAGTAAATGAATAGCACAATCGTTTAAAATAATTGTCAACAAATATTGGAAAGAAAAATATCTATAGAAAAATATTTATAAAACCTGAGAAGTTAATTATAGTTCGTTGATGATTCTTTTAAGAGGTATATATTTGTTGTTGACTTCATTATATTTTTTTATCTTTAACTTTTGGATATTATAAACAAATAAGAGTTACACTATTGTGCAACATTCACTAGTTATAAACATTGTTAAATATAGTATCAACATTGTGATATCTCTTATGTATCTTACACACATATTTTGAAAATCACAAGACTTAAGTTGCCATATTCATGCATTGTTCTGGTAAGTTTATTTGATTTTAGTTATTTTGTCCTTTTTAATTATCACAATATATAACCGTTATATGATAGTTGCAAATGCAAAGTACTTTATCATTTAATATGATATATATATATATATATATATATATATATATAATATATATATATATTCATGTGTCAAATTATATCTTAATATATATTTTAAAACTCATAAATCTTTATTATTTGGCCTTTTTCTGTTCTTATCATTGGAAAGTAGCACAAGTTGCACCTGACTATATCCCTCTCGCAAATTAACGAATCTAAAAATATAAAAGTTTATTTAAAATTTCTGCATTAGTATTCAAAAGTATCATGCATTTTATGTCAGCATTAGTAAAATCAATCTCAGAATCAGTAAAATAAAAATAATCCAACAGTACACTATATGAAAATGTACAAGCATAAAGAAATAATAAAGAAATAAAAATTCTTTTCGCAATAAGTAATGCAAAATACAAATATGTCAATAAAAAAAATGTAAATTCATCAAAAGAATTGTTTTAAATGTCCTGAAGTTTTCAAGATTCATATATTTCACTTATACATTTGTACCTGTTTCTCTCCTGTTGTTGTATGGACAGTCTATCACCTTTCCGTAGATATGTAGTTAGGCCTGTATAACATGATATTTCTGATGAACTAACAGAAGCACTGGCACATGTAATAAGCTTTTGTTTCATTGACGAACCCTCAGAATTTAACACCACCCAATAAGAATGACTCGTCGATTTTCCGAAATAAAAAATCTGTAATTACAATATCTTTTTAAGCATAAATAAAAACACAAAGAATATCTAAACATATTAATTTAATAATTATTGTTTAAATTTTTACCTGTACAGAGATCATATATAAACCACTTATAGTAACTTCAATCGAATAATTTTCTTCTGCCAAGTAGAACTTGTTGAAATCATATGAACCATTGTCCTTGTTACTTTTAATCCAAGGTCCTACATAAGCTAAAAATCATTTTTTATTTTCAATATGTGATACTACATATGAGTCTTGTATCTATTCAATAAAATTAAAATTAATAAAAATTAATTATTAATTCACATTAAATAAAAAAGTTTAATTGTAAAGATCGAATAAGTTTGAAAAACTTTAAAATATAATTGTATTGTTTTCATTATTAAATACCTGTATTTTGAAAATCTTGTTCCGGTATTGCACCAACAAACGTAACCACTGCCGGATCTATAAGACAAATTAAAATTATTTCTCGAACTTAGAGATCTTTTTTTAAATAAACTATATTGAATTAATCGAATCAATTAAGCAAAATTTTAATTAATATAATTATAATTAAATTTTTGATTAATATAATTATATTATAATTTGTAAGTTAATTTGTTTCTATAAATCAAGTAAATAGTTTACCGATAACATGTTAATTAAAAAAAAAAGAAACAGATATACCCAATCGCCTTCGACTGCGTTTGGGCCATCTTCTCGGGAATCGCCGTTTTTTACCTCTTCCTATATTTTCTAATTGTCTCTGTAATCTTCGTGATTTTCTTTGTACATCTACTGTATTATTACCATTCCTCTCATCTTCCGTTGTCGTGTGATTTTGTGCTTCAATTTCTATATCCCTTTTTTTACGTGACAAATCTCTTTCATCTTTCATCTTAGATTCTTTAATCTCTGACATTATCTGATTAATGTCATCTAAAATTCTACTTTTACGTGCATCATCTTGATGATCCACTGGTTGAACGGAAGTAGATAAAACCGTTGAATTATCCTTATCAAAGATTATCAAGACAGTGTTGGAATTCTGATCATTTTCAATATTTGATACATTAGTAGGTTTGAGATTGAAAGGATCGTTTATCGAGCGGATATCCCACGGTCGGGCGTTATATACGATTGGATTATATCTGAGCCGGGACATAATATTATTTATCTGAAATATAAGAAAAATGTTAAGGTAACAATAATATTAAATATTAGACAAAGATATTAGAAGTTCTTATAATTTCTAAATAATAAAAGCAAGTTAAATAATGATCAAAATGCAAATCTAAAGATGATGTTGATTTTTTTCGTTATATCGTTATGATTCGTTATATGATCCGTGATTACGTAAATCAAGCTGGAGAAAAATAGTACACGTGATATTCGTCCTACATCGGATGATGCACATTCCATCCGATAACAAAGTAGATGATTAACTCTCGAAAATCAAAACATATATTATAATTATATTATTTATTCATGCTTATTTATAGTTTCAAATGTGTTCGAATTTATGTTTAAATGAAATAGATAGATAGAAGGAAAGACAGAAAGGAATGCATACAAAGACACACATACATATACATGTGATTAATTTCTTATATGTGCATAAGTATATATAAAAAATTAACAACTTTCAATGTAAAAAATGTGTAGAAATTAATCTGTTAAATCTGTACTGAAGAAATTCATCTTACCCGTAGTTCTAAATTTCTTATTTTTTCTTTATATGTGTAATATCGACGTGCTTCATCCTCCAATATTCGGTCACGTTGTAGTGTGTTTGATGCATTTTTCATTTGAGAAATTACTACTACGCTTATTATAAACATTAAGAGAAGGAAAATATCAGAAACAATTAGCCAACAATAAACATCCTTCTTTAAATTCTTTACGTAAGATTCCTTCTTTAAATTCTTAACGTTGACATCCAGGTTTAAGTTATTTGTGACATCAGTGTTGTTCCGCATTAATTTGATACTATTTTTCAGCGAACATACTTCAATCTTCGACATCTTTTAAATATCTAGTTTTTTAGATATCTTTTTTAAATATCTAGTTTCTTCTAATCATTAGGAGAATCTCGTTATCGTTTATTTAGAGATATATATCGCGACGTGCCTGAAATATGATATGTATGTGCAGTTATCAGTGTATCGGCAATTAATATATAATAATTTACATAGAATATAAACAAATTTTCTTATCGAAAAATGATATATATAAATATATCATTATACGATAATAAATATATATTAGTCTAAAAAAAGAAACAAAAATTGTTTTGTTCCATTATAATCACGTAATTTTTTTATGTAAAATATTTGTAATATATTTGGAAATTTAATTATATAAATAATAATAAAAAATGTTGAGTACATATGTGTATAAATAATGTTTAAATATATTGTATTATTTAACTATTATATTTGTAATTTAATTTATTATAATATAATTATAATATTTCTTTTATAAGTTTTATATATATGTATATATATATATATATTTAGTTATTTAAAAATATATGCGTCATTCTTTTATTTTTTCACACGAAAAAAATTATATATTCTACTCCATTTCTAGATCCAAACTAAAGAATTTTTTCTAAAGAAAAAAGTACCTGAGGAAATGTTAAAAGCCTAAAAAAAGAGCAAACAATAGCAAGTTTCCTTTTAAGATTTTATTGTGCAGCTAAATCTCTATGTTCTCTAGGATGTATCTCTAAGGATTTTCTGTCCATTTTCGAATTTCATTGTATTTAGAAAAAGATTCCTAAAAAAACTTAAAAATACCTAAATTTCGATACTTTACCTACTGCGCGTGACCTTTACATGTGTATTCAAAAAGATGTTGAGCATGTCATTCATCAACTTGTTTCTTTTTTTTTTATTTGACACTTAAATGAATCAAATGTTTAATCTCTGTTAATGCAAAATGTCTGTAAATTTCTTAAAAGACATTATCGCAGATTATCTTCTCGTTATGTAAAACTATCCGAGTGTACGATTTACATCGATAAGCGATGTAAACATGTAGTTGTATCCGCAAACACAAATACATTTCCGATTATAACAGATGTAAAGGACAAAGTACTCTTCTTAGCAAATGATCTCTATTTCGAAGTTTATATCCTTCTTAGAGCTTATAATTTTATTCCTTTAAACATTACATCGTTCCCGCGCAGTGACACATTTCCCGCCACTTTATTCCATATATGAGCATGTTCTTTTATAAGTAGAGAATTAAAAATAGTTACACATTTCTTGTATGTATATGCTCGCCTTTATATTATATGGAGTTTAATTTGTACAAATTATAATTATAAATAATTATAAAATAATTATATTATAAATATTTTTATAAGATAATTATAATATGAATTTTGAATATTTAAAATATATTTTCCGAAAAATTTTTAGAAATATTCTTAGCATGTTTTTTAATCAAGTTTCAATATTATTAAAGACATAGACACACAAATTAACTAATATAATTTTAATCTTATTCCCCACTTCTTTTTCATTATATTAAATAACAATATAATTATTAAATATAATTATTAAGTTATTCTTGTAAGTTACACATCAAAGACATACATTTTTAAATTTTTAATTAAGAAGGCTTTGAAGATTAAACCATTTTATTTGCAAAATTTTTTTGCAAACAAAAAAAAATTATTCCAACACTATAAAAGAAATATCTTCGTGTGAATTTTAAGGGTTAGAAAAAGCAAATATTTTCGGTGCACGATTTAATAATGTTGAAAGAGCAATCAAAGCAAGCGCAATTGAAGACGCACTTACCTCCGAATGATGTTCCCGCCTTTCCTTACGGACGGGTGAATGATGGATCATCGATCGAACTAGTTCATTTGGATCAGACCCGCCCGAGACGCGCGCGTAAGATCTTTTGTTTATCTCTTCCTCGCGGTCCACATCACAATGGGCCTTACGTAGAACACGACGGTAACGCCACGCTCGTATTTGATGAGCGACAAATCTTTGCTGGCTTCGGTTACCGATGCTCGCTAACTCGACGAGATATCTCTACAACTGTGTCGATGGCTTTGTTCGTCGACGTGTTTCCGAATGCGTGAAAATGTGCATCTGTACGATTCTTCTACATCTTCTGATTCCATAGAAAGAGACACAGCTTTCTGCTCAATGCGTTACATGGCCTACATTATACACTCTGAAATAAGATAATTAAGTTATTATAAAGCATTGCAAACACATATTTGCAAACAACATGAGAATCTATAATAGATTCAGGAAACATAGACTGCTCTTATCCAGTTGCATCGCAAGTGGAAAAAATTTGTTATGAAAAGAATACGACTACTTAACGAAATTCCTTCGATAGGTTTGTTTTTTTTTTACTTTCAATAGAAAACGAAAAAAATATCAGTACTTTTTGTTGCGTCATTATACCTGATTTGATTATGAGCAGTCTATGTTTTCCATATCTATATGTTATACCTGAACATGAAATACATCACAAAAATAGGTCCGCGGGTAAAGTGATCCTTGATAAAATACTCCACATAGTAAGATCCTTATTACTCATGGCCAGCGCGATTCATTGTAGCAAAGAGACATTTTATCACGTTCTTGTATTTAATGTCCCGAGCGCTCACGTAACTTGTCATGTTGAGAAAAATTCTGCAATAAAGATACTAATTAGTCATCATACGATGCCCTAAGTCGCATTAAACTGGGTAATCAGATATCACGTGTGTCATCAAACGCGTAAAATGCGGGGCAAGGACTTAAAATGAGAGAACTGTCAACAATTCTCTTAATAAGATCCTAGCATTAATAATACATTAAATTTATATATTTGACAAGCAGAAAAAGAAATTCATTGCTCGGTATTTTCAGAGACATACCTGAAGAACATGGATGACAACGACAATTAGATGTAATTATCTTCACTGTACTACTACTGCACGCTTATATTAGATGACTGCCGGACTGTTAGTCATGGAATTTCCAACCTGATATCATTCAAACTCAAATATTTCGCGATTGCGATGCACTCAATTATCCTGGTACTGGAATATTGTTTGACCAAATGTGTCCAGTTATGCAAATATTATTTAACAAAATGTAACATCTGCAAATATTATCATCATTAACAGAAATATTCATTAATACCTATTAATATATAATATTCGCAAATATATAAAGAGCAAAAGTGTATGTCTGTAATAAAGTTAACAAAAAAAAATGTTACAGTTGAAAATTAACTATAATTAATTCTAGGAAGCTTCACTTTATCTTGATAAACCGCGACTAAATTTTAAACGCAGGCTGTGTATGTGTGTATCTCATGATTAAATTATTTAATTTCTCAATACAATACACACACTTCATGCGAGACAAGCAGCCATATGTGTACATATATTCTAGGAAAGGATTCTCCTTCGTGGAATTTTATCGTCAATTACCGATACCACAACGAATGAAAGAAGAAAAAAGAAAGAAAGAGTTTTATAACGGTGGTCTATTTATTTATACTTCTACGATATAATCCGTTAATGATTAAGAAATCGCTGAGAGGAAATATTTGTTTTACAAATTGATTAGCGCGACTAGCGAAATATATCTTCAAGATCGAGGAGTTTAAGATAACTTTTTCGAAAGACAAATTTCGAAAGAGCGAAAAAATTAATATTAATATTTTGTCATTCTTATACTTATTATTATCTTCATCTTTTATAGATACTTTCAGATTATTTTTACCTTCAGAGTTTTACTTTTGAAATCTAGAATTTAGGATTTAGATTCTAATATCTAAATTGTAAAATTCAAGACTAAGATTTAATTTTTTATTAAGATATTTAATGTGAAAATATTGGAAATAAATAGATTTGAGATCAACAAATAATTTACATAAATGAAATATCTTGTATTATATCTGTATCAGATATGTAAAAAAATATACTCCGGAACTGATTACATGATTTATATATACATATTCACACAGTTGCGCATAATTTCTTCGTTATCAATTTGAAAAGCAGTATAAGCGTAATTAGAGGCTTGCAAACGTGGTCAGTGTAAAGTTTTGAATTGCGATCGTCTCATTGCGATTATCTTTTGCATCTTGTTTAGTTAGATTTGACTCATTCTTTGTGCGCATTTACTTATACTCCTTCTCCATTTTCGTCTTTCATTAATCTCTTTAAATATTTATATCATTACATTTGTAATCTGACAATGTATTTCTTTTTACCGATTTTTAAAAGAAATATTGATCGATAAACATCCTTTAGTATCGCTACACAATTATTATTATATTTTAAAAAATATCAGATTTAATCCAAATATAAAGTTTATCTAAATTTAATAATGTGATAGAGAAGAAAGTATAGTATAACATTTTGTACCGTTTGACAAGAGCCGAAGGCGCCGCAATAATAAACGCCGACGTGCTTCATTCTGTTCTTCAGTATACTTGTGCCCATCGTGGGCGACGGATGCGCATTGTCAACTGCACGCGTTTCTAAATCTCGTGTGAATGCTCTGGAAACATTAATAATCAGTGATAAAAATAGGAACGTTATAAATATATATTTTTTATGTAAATTAAATTAAATTTATTATTAACAATTTACGTAATTTTTACAAAACGTGCAATAATCAAAATTTATTTTAAAAAAAGTGCGTTTTAAAGATATAAAAATATATTTGTTAAATCAGAAGTGAATCATCAATAAATAGTAGGTATTGAAGCGGATTAAAATTTAAATTAATGAAATAATATATATCCAACATATACATAAAAACTGTATCCCGATTTATAAAGTAAGACTTAAATAATAGAGAAGTAATAATAGTGAAGTTTACCTCTTCGAAATTAAAAGATTTTTTTATAAGTACAAAGCTCCAGAACATCGCTAATTTAAGAAACGTTAGATTACGTCAGAAAGGTAACGGTCAGATTAGATAAAGCAATCTTACCGTAGATATGAAAATTTCAATTAAAAATGTGCATTTTCTATTATTAAAGCTTTCTATTATTATTTTCTATTATTAATTTTTTGCATTTTTATGAAATAATTTATACATCTAAAAAACTTTCTTTTAAATCAATCAATTAAATCAACATATTTCATTTTTAATTATCTTCTATTTTTATTTCTTATATAAAATATAGTCTATTCTCTCTTTGTATCTCTGTTCCTGCCGCAGGACGAGAACAGTACGGAAAATGATGAGGTTGGATATAAAAGAGGAGGAGGTCCTCTTGTAGTTCTCTACCTTTAGGGGGGAAAAAAACTCGCCGGACAGGTTTTAAAGCGGGACAGGACCGGTGCGGGATATTTAACGTCTCCGTATATCGTAAATCTTCAAAATTGTACAATCAGATGGACCGCGTCTGTTCCGCGCGACTGCCGAAAGTTTTTTGTAGATCTTCTCTTCCGGTTTTTCACTTATGAAATATCAATTTTTTTATCTTGATAGAAACGAGTATTTTCCGCGATTATTTTTACGCCATAACTCGCGAAAAAACATTAGTTATTCGAATACAAAATGAAAGAAAAAGACATACCTCAATATTCGAGTACAACGCGTCGAATAACATTGATGCATCTTGATAACGTAAATAGCATCCTATTAAAGACGATTAAAATGTTTGTCCATGATGTAATAACCAGAATAGATCTCATGTAATTTTATCTGATCCTATAATAGGAACTTTATTATTATTTAGCCGATTCAAGGCTGAAATCTTTTCTGGAGCTTCGCAGTACATAAACCTGTACAAATACAGAAATCGAGGATTATCATTCAATAATTTATATTAAATGTATGAAATATGTTTAATAGAAAGAAACACGCACCATTGCATGTAAAGTACGGTGTGGTCGATGAATTACTCCGCTTGAAAAGCAAAAGATTCGCGGCAACGCAGTTTCTACGTGAAAAATGATTTCCTGACCGTGTCAATCAATGGAGGATGAACTGTGTTCTCGACACGCGATCGTTCTGTCAAATTACAAGGACGCGTATGAACATGTAAATCCTCGCGTTGAATTTACAAAGTTAGACAAAGCGATAATCCTACCGAATAAGCCCATGCCTTCCACGATGACATCGATGTTACCGGAGGAGGATAGCAAGGCGACAAAGATGAAGCAGAGGCTGATGAGCAACGGCCATGTGAAAGAGGAAACGCGTTCCTTCTTGAATATCTTGCGAGAAAACTTGAGCGTTTCACACTCCGATCTCGAGCAAGGATTCAACAGATCGCGACAGAGACCGAGCAGGAACATGATCCTGAGTGTGTCCGCTCTCATGATCTCCATTCTTTGCCTCGGTCTTGTAAGCTGGAAGCTAAGCTCGAATGCGCGCGAAATCGAGCAGCTGAAGAGGGAAGTCGATAGCTTGAAGCGGTTTCTGGAATTAGATATCAATGATGAAATAAAGACTCTCAAAAAAGTAAGTATATCTGTACAATAAATATATGATAAGTTGATATTAAGTGCGTCCCTGAATGGACTTCTTCATGGAATGTAAGAAACAAATTACATTTCTCTCCTATTTCCAGTTCGAGCTTTACTAATTGTCGTACACATCATGTACAAGACACGTGAGAAAATTCAAGTTACATACAGACTATTGAACTTCATATAGATTCTTGTATATCTATATACGGTTTATCTTTGACCCCTAGTGCGATTCGTCTCGACTATGATAACCTTGAGTTTCGATAAAACCAGATGAAAGTAAACAAAATGTTAGAGATTTGCAACTTTCCACTGCTTTAACGCATTTGAATATTTCATAATTCGATAAAGTGTAAATTTCTCGTTGTCAATTTTAATTTAATAGCCACTTTCCCTTCAAATTCTCTAATTGAAAAGTAATCTAATAGAAAAGGAAGGAAATTAAACATATTTTGCTTAAGGCGAGAAATTTATAGCCAATGGCTAATTTTTCTGGTGAAAATACATTCGTGAATAAGTGAGAAATGTATTGCACATATAGTGTTTATCAATTTCATCACTATTTTTATCTGCGATAATTTTAATCGGACAAAACTATCCGAATTTACAAAGATTTTCATTAAATCTCTCTCATTAACTTATCTATCCGATCAAGATTAAATTGTTTTTTCATATCTTTCCCTAGCACACATCTTCTTTCTTTTAAAACAATTTATTTACACGAAAAGGAACTTGCTATATATTTTTGAAGGTTTATTGCAAGCTAAAATTACAAATAAATAATTTGAAATATAAAAATAAGCGTATATGTAAAATATAAGAATCGACTTTTTTAATTAATTATTACATATTTAATAATTTAATGTTCAATTCAGCTTATTACACATGATTGATAAGAATCCAAGCATATATAAATATATGATTGGATTGTTAAAATTATAGGAAAATTTGTGCGAGATGAAACTATTTTAGTCAATAATAGAACTTTTGTTTCCAGCAAAATTTTCCATTATGGAGAATTCGCGCTGCTTTTAGATGCAATTATTTCAATTGTCATTCAAAAGGAAATCATATCACAATTGCCTATAATTATATTGCTAAACCAGAAAATTTCTGTTACATACAGAATGATTCATATGAAAATCTCAATTATCCGCATAATTCTATAAGCATATTACTTTATTTGCATATTGCAGTTGTACCGAGAAGCGAGCGAAGATAGTGATCCAGACGAAGCGGACATTGATAACGCTGATTATGATTCTAATTATGAAGACGACAGTTCCGCATCGCAGGACGATTCCGATTATTCCCGCGCTCGTTTGACTTATGACTCTAGATCATTAGGCTTTCTGAAAACTACTATATCGGCACCCACGAATTCTCATGAGACCATTGTTGAAAACAAACAAGAAAATTACAAGTGAGATAATATATATTTTTTCTGCAATCAAACAAGTTAAAAATTAGCAGAATTAATATCGATTTGTAGCGTTAAAAATTTATAGATTCACACATTTATAAAGGACTCTAGCGTACTTTATCAATTAAGTCATATTTATTACATCTAGAAATATCGAACGAAAACTTGAGGAAGAACACACACCATTATTAAATCGCGAGGAGAAGATTGGCGATGGAAATAGCACAGAACACAAACACGACGACATCGTCAGGAGAGATATATCTACAAATACAGGATATATTAAAGAAAGTATCAAATTAAAGCGATCTGTGAGCGATCATACAACGGTTGATGAGTCTTTGATAAATACATCAAATTATCATCGTGCCGATCGACATTCTACTAAGGCTATTTCAAGTGTGCCCAAGATGCGTCCTTACGCAAGCGATGAAAGCCACGCAATTAATGCTACGATACTCGCACTTCTGGAACAGATAAGTTCAACATCGTAAGTTGGCGAACATCTTTATTAAATACATAATCGACTGAGAAAATTTTATTGAGTAGAGTTATTGCTTAGAAATTTAGAAAAAAATTTTTAAATGAGCTTCTTTTGCCCTAATATTAAAGGTTAAACTTTACTTAATAAATAATGACAATTGTTAGAATTATATTAAATAACACAAATTAAATCAATTATCTTCCGAGACAGGCATTCCCCGAAGAAGTATCACACCCACGCGCGTCTACAGGCATTTCCTCTGGTGCACGACGACCAATTAAGCGAAGTAATTACTCGACCTAACAGCCGCATGAACGAAAATCCAGAGACTATAAGTGACAATGGAAGAGTCAATTGGCGGAACGCGCATCGCAATATCAAGGAAGCCGAAATTCACAAATCCGTTCAGGTAGGTATAAATGTGGTGAGGTTGTTGCAAAGTTAACAAGATTCGAGCATTATAAAGCTCTAGTCGAGTGAAGACGCATAAAGCCGTTGTGATGAATTAGAATTTCAAAGTGGCCAAAAAGGAATTACATCGAAGACTCACACGAAGACATTTACGTGCACCACGGCAGATTTACGCTACTCACTATGGTGCGGATAGCGCGCTCTTCACGGCCGAGGACGAGCACATCGGCAACGGCAAAGCGCGACACAGCAATGGCATCTTCAAGGCATGGCAACCAAGCGATTGGGTAGCCGAATTCGATATGACCAGGTACTTCACGCTTTCCAATGATGGTAAACTCACTGTGCACGAGCCAGGATTGTATCTGGTATACGCGCAGATTCACTATCTGGATGAGCACGACGAGAACGGTTTCCGTCTTCTGGTCAACGACAGGTCTATCCTACAATGCATGGTAAGAATTGAAGGAATAAATTATCATATTTCTCAGAAAGGAAATATTAATACAATAAAAACTTGATATACATCTAACGAGAAATTTCTAAAGTGAAGAATATAACAAAAAATAGAAATATATAATACGCAATATGTATAGTATAAAATAACGAATGTTATTTTCAGGTGTATAGCCCAGGTCGGGGACATAAAAGCCGTTCGTGTTTTTCAACTCAAGTGACGGTTTTACAGGCAGGTGATCATCTGGTCCTGAAAGATATTGGTACAGCAAGGTATACTCTCTTTCAACGCGATAAAAGTTTCTTCGGTTTGGTGAAACTCGGTGAACTGAGACAGCAGCAGAAACATCAACAATTGAACCACAACAATTGATGCATTAGTAATTTAAAACGTTTTAAAATTATTGATAACGTTAAAAAGATAATAAACGAGTTGTAGTCATCGACTTCTTACCATTTAAGTTAAGAATTTTTATATCTCTTGTAATATAATACAGTCTTTTTACACTCGCGTGAATTATTAATAATTTTGTTTTGTAAAGAGATTACATCATTTCTTTGCTATAGAACTTTTTTATATATTTTATAATTTGATTATTACGCGATTATTGCACGTTATTTTCGTTTACATAAAGAGAATCTCCAAATATTAATTAGTTTAAACCTCTAAATATTAATTAGTCTGTGTGTGTACACATATTCTATATAAAATATTATATTCCACATAATATTTTATATAGAATATGTATACACATACAAACATATTTCTAAAAGAAATAATAATATATACATATATATTTAAGAATAAAAACATATGTATAATAAAGTAAAATTCAAAACAATGTTTGTAATAGTACAAGACTTTTCTTGTAATAATACAAGTAAATCTTCAATGGCAACATATTTTATTGTAAGTCATCCTTTTGGTGCAATATAATTTTGAGCGAAGACTCCCGATCGGTATCAGATCTCCCGGTACATCCATCAAATCAACGATAAAATTCGGTTTTATAAGTTTGGTTGGATAAACTATTGATCGATAATCTTTCCGAGAAGATATTTTTTCAATCTTATGTTCGCCACGATGCGAGGAAATACTTGATTTATCTAACAATCCGGGAGAAACAGACGTAGCTATTTCTTCACGATATGCATTGTTATCATCTAAATAAGTGCTAAATAATTCTTCCTCATTCGAATCTTCTATCTATACAAGATACTCAATAGATTATAAGCGATTTAGTAAAAATGTATATATCTATAGCATCAGTGATTAAATATTACTTGAGGTACTGCTATTTCGATCCACGATATACCGTATTCCCCGCGTACGAGAGCCGCTGGAAGGCATATTCTATCGGCTATCGCCTTGAAAAGCAAAGCTCGTTCGAGATAAGAGCCTATGCGAAGTTGCCCGAGCGGAATCACGCTCGTTTCTAAGCATTCTTTAATTTTCTTCAAGTGAACTTCAAGCTGGTGATCGATGCATTTGTTCGTCGAATCGAAACCGGACATTTGACGCGCCACAAATTGAGCTAACATTCTTGCACGCAAAAGAACGTATTGGATGTTCGTCACCTTATCTATATCTGACGCATTTCTGTATCATATATAAGAGAAATCGCTTTTATCATGTGTAACTCTAATAAGTTGTGTGTATATATATATATATATAAAATTTTTAATCATATTTTTGAAAACTCTACTAACAAATCTCTTTTTGATTCTCTCGCTAAAACCATACATTTAAAAAGTTCCACATATTCAGTAAAATATGGATCGCATTGTAATCGTCCGAATTTTGATTCAAGTAATACATTTATATTTTCTACAAATAAGAATGTTCCTTTTAGAGTGATATTTCTTTTTAAAATGTCGAATATTTCTATATGATACAGTATTTAATATAAAATATGTTCCATTGTTATATTGTTCAAATTATGATTTAATTTTGCATTACGTAATGTTTTATTACCTTTAAAAACTGTCCGTAAAGCATTCGATAGAGTTGATGATGGTACACAATTTACTACATAAATAGGCTCCAGTGGACAATATTTAAATCGAAAGATATCATCCAATACCGGAAATCTGAAAAAAATAGTATGACAATATTAGCAGTTATAAAAATGTTGCACATAATTTGACAAATCATATAATAGTTTTTACTGCAATAATAGGAGAAATCTATGTCCATATGAAAATACATACGGACATATATTCCTTCGTAAAACATAAAATCCATCCTGAGTAAGATCTTGTAGAGACAAGCGTCCCGTAAGAGCAAATTTGATTGGTAAATGCGATTTAAAAAGCGTCTTTATGCAAGTATCCCATGCAGGAATCACTCTCGAAAATGAAGGATTATTTAACATGCTGTAGAATAATTATATGATATTACTATTTAATTGGACAGATTCATATATATTAATTTTAACAGATATCTCAAAATTCAATATTCTCTTATAACTAAAAGACCCTTTCTCTTTTAATAAACGTCATAAAATTGTAAGAGAAAGAGTCAAACTTACTACGAAAGATATTCATTTTCTACAAACGCATTTGCTACAATTAAATCTGTGGAAATTGTTTGTACGAGCTGTATCACAGAGTTTGTTACCGAGATTGAATGTGTATCAGTAATGAGAGAATACAATCTTTGAGGTCCATTTGCTTTTATAAAATAATTTCGTCCATTCTTTTCTAAGCATAGCACAGAAAGTAAATTGCAACAAGAAATTTTTAATTCATCTAGAAATGGATAAGTTGACTAAAAGATAAAAATATTTTTTATCAAATATTGTACATTAGTTTCAGAGATTAAAGTGTATGAAATATATATATAATACTTATTATGTTATATACTTCTAAAAGCAAGCAAATGATATCAAGATTGTCAAGATTGATTAAGACATCCCTAAATTTTGGATAGTATGCTATGGCAAGCAGAGCTTCAAGAAAAATAATACAAGTTTCTACAGGAACTTGTTCTACAAATTGTTTTATCAATTGCAATAGATAATCCTTAAAAACCAAAATTACTATTATTTATATAACCAGAAAAGCTTGTTATTCTATTTATGAATGAGTGTACATAAAAATATATGAAATATGTATTTATAATACAATTACATACATGTCCATGAATATCTAAAAAGATATTGCAATTTCTAATATCACTTATTAACAATTTCTTGAGCGCGAAACTTGCAGCATGTTTTGTGGACCACTGCAAGTCCTCTTTTTTCAATAAGTCTGAAACAGTATTATTTTTCCTAGTCTCCTGTTTTATGTAATTATGAAAAAAGTTTTTAAATGTGTTAATCATGTAACCTAAAATAATTTTAACAAATTCCCTATTTGCAAATTCCTTTGCAGCAAGATTAAAAAGTGCCATTCTTCCAATCCCATAACATACAATCTCAGTAATATCAGGTTGTGTCCATTGTTGTAATACATTTATTAAATGTTCAACAATCTCATACGAATGTAAAATCTATCAAGCAGATATGTAAATGTATATATTACATATAAAAAAATTAAGTAGTCCTTTTTTTACATGTCTTAAAATATACAATGTTATATAAAATTACTTTTCTTCCATTTGAAGTATTCGCAATATGTACAATAACTCTAAATGCTTCTGTAAAAAGTTCTGGAGCTGCTACATGATCTATATAATTTAATATTTGTGGAATACTTCCAATTTCAATAAGTTTATCTACAGCAACTAGATTTTCAGCAGCAAAATATAATATTTTCAAAGCTTTAATGTGTAAATTATTCCATTCATTATTCTACATAATATAAGTAATATTAATAAAATTTAAAATAAAAAATTTATTATAAAAAGAATAAAATGTATTTTAGCAATACCAAAATTATTTATAGAAGCAAAAATTTCTTACTTTCAGAAAATTTAACAATGTTTCAATTCCATTTGTTTCATGGAATAAAGATTGTATATTTTCATCTTTATTCCTTTCAATTATATCAGCAACTACAGTTAGTGCGAGACATTGAATCTCTGGATAACATGACTCAAAGTGTTGATACAAAAGAGGGAAATTAAATTTCTAATGACAATAAAGAACAGAAAAATATAAATTGAGCGAATTTCAAGCTTTGCAAATTCAATAACAAACCTCAGTTTTCAAAATTTTACATGCAATTAGAGGATCCTGCATGAAATTATGTAGAATCTCCATATTATTTTTCTGTATATCTGGATCCAATGATTGTATCCCATCAAAAAGAAAATTCATGTTTAAACAATGTTCCACCAGAAGAACAGAAGCATATGGATTTCTAGAGATTCTTGCAAGTATCGCAGAAAAATATTCTTGCATAAAGATATCTCCTTCACTTGTTAATAGTTCCATAAAATGTAATAAATAATTAGACTCAATGAAATAACTCGTTACCTCTGGCATTGCCATCATTTCTACCAATAATTTTGCAGCAAATCTGTAACATACATATAATTATATTAAACATAGCAAAAAAATTACCTTCTAAATATTTTACATTATATATATACTTATTTAGTACAAACCTTCGAATAAATAAATCCTTGTGTTCAATAATAGGAAGAACATCATTCACGATACCAAGGTCGAAAAGTATCTTTACGTTATCTTTCGACTTACTAGCATACTTTGATAAAGCCTCTACAGCTGCCAACAAGATAGCTCTTTCCTTAGATTGCAATAGTAATATCGTTGATTCTGCATCCTTGGCCTCAGAAAGGGATGAACGAAATGGAGTATATTTTAATTCTTCTTTCTCATCTCTTTCTTCATTGTTCTATTCACATAAAGATCAAATTTAGATGCAAAATTTTATTTTCTTGATAAGTGAGCGACTGACTATTTGATACACTCGCCCCTTTCAAGTCAAATAACAAAGAGACTTGACAAATCTTACCTTCGAATCCTGTGCTTGCATATTATGGTATATAATTCTGCAGGCGATAATAATTGATCTCCGACACTGTCTGACACAACCAGACGATACAAAAAACGTTTATTCCAACTCTTTCGTTGCTCACATTTTTCGCAATCTGATCGTCGTTCAAATGTTGAAAATATCGAAATTGGATCAATTGACCAATAGCAGAAGTTGCTTCTCAAAAGTCTCTGAAAAACCAATCCCATTCGACATGAGATAAAAGCTCGTCGACTATTGGTCGACGAGCTTTTATCTCATGTCGAATGGGATGTCTCATTGTACTCAAATGCAAGAGATACTTTCTGAATTAAGATAGGTTTCCACTTGGCTCTCCACGCTCATTTTCCATCACATAATTAAAAATAAAAAAAAAATAATTAAAAATAATTAAAAATAAAAAATAAAAATAACGTCGAGTGTCCGAAAACTACGTCAATGGAGTAGTATTCGACTGACCAATCAGAACAAAGGAACCTTGGCTACCTTTATCTTGATTGGTCTCCACTCAACGAGTGGATATACGCTCTATATATTACACAATCATAGGCGAAATTCTTTATTTAACGACCAACCGGCGTGCTCAACGTAGTAATACGTGGTATGCATCAGCGTGCGTGTCATAAATAAATGTAAAATGTAGTTTGATTTAATCTTATAATAATCTTGAAGCGCATCATTATGCCAGTGAAGCAAGGTAAACATAATACTGTCCTTATAATTTAATTCTCAAGAATTTCCTACTCTTGGTAGAGATGATGTAGAAATTGTATCCAAACATCTGTAAGGAATACAATTTTATATATTATATTATAATAAATATATTTGTATTTGTAAACATTTCATATTTTTCTAAAATACTATAGCAAAGTTGATATGTATTGTTTATAACATGTATTGTTTATAACATTCACTTTTATCAGATGTATAAAAATGAATGTCTTATTTATTCAAGCAAGTACTGAAAGGTATATTATTTATTACTGTTGTATTATTACTGTTGTATTAAGTTTCTTATTTTTAAGTATGATCACATTAGTATAACACATAGTAGCATTATTGCATTTGTTTATAGGAAGCTGTAAAAATAAGAAGCACTTCATTATAAAATAAAACTGTCGTATCGATATATGCTATGTGATACTTGAGAAAGTTTGAAAATGAATGAAAGTGAATCCATTTATGGGACAACTTTGTCTCAAGAATCTATCAAAGTAATAGCAGAAAGCATTGGTGTTGGAAATTTCCCAGATGAGGCCGCAAAGGATCTCGCAGAGGATGTTAGCTATAGACTCAAAGAAATAATTCAGGTTAATTGCATGTATTATATTCTGTATAATTTGAATGCCCTGCTAAAAAGACTTTAATTTCAAATTCATTAAAAATTATATTGTCAACATATTATCAATTTTTATTTTTTACAAATTTTATTTTATGTAATTAAATAAATAAAACTTGATAATTTATTGATTCTTTATAGGATGCTGCAAAATTTATGAGGCATGGAAAACGTCAACGAATGACTACGCATGATATAGATCATGCATTGAAAATTAAAAACATTGAGCCAACATATGGATTTTTTGCTAAAGATCACATACCATTCCGCTTTGCATCAGGCGGTGGTAGAGAACTACATTTTGTGGAAGAAAAGGAGATTGATCTTAATGAAATTGTGTCTATGGCTGGTGGGCAAACATGGCCCAAGCTTCCTTTGGAAATCACATTGCGAGCTCATTGGCTGTGTATTGATGGAGTACAACCTACCGTACCAGAAAATCCACCACCAGTATCAAAAGGTTTCATTTATTTGATTTTTCATCTAGAAAAAAGAATTCCTTTAGGATTATATAGATTGTATATATATATATATATATTTAAATTATAAAACTTATTCTAAAAAAAATTTCATTTTATAAAGGAAAGTTCAAAAAATATTAGTACAATTTGCAAAATACATTTGCAAAATATTTGTAAAATATTCCAAATTTTCAATTATATTATATTATGATGAAATAAATTTTAATAGATGTCCAGAAACTAGAGAGTGTCGATCCGACGACTAAATTATCCAGCAAGAATCAAAATATTGGTATTGGTAAACCGGGTGGCGGTGGCAAAAGTCAGAAGCTACGAAATGTGGAAACTATTCACGTGAAACAGCTTGCGACGCACGAGCTCAGTGTAGAGCAACAATTGTATTACAAAGAAATAACCGAAGCATGCGTCGGATCCGACGAAGGTCGCAGAGCGGAGGCTCTTCAATCGCTCTCAGCGGATCCTGGTCTGCACGAAATGCTAGCGCGTATGTGCACCTTCATCGCGGAAGGTGTACGGGTCAATGTCGTACAGAATCATCTCGCGTTACTTATCTACCTCATGCGAATGGTCAAGGCTCTACTCGATAATCCGAGTCTCTATCTAGAAAAATATGTAAAAGACTTAGCTATTTTTTAAAATTAATTTATTATTTCATTTTATCTATTGAAATAGTATGTATTATAATTTTTAGCTTCATGAATTGATACCATCAGTTGCAACTTGCATAGTTTCTCGACAATTATGCATGAGACCAGATGTAGACAATCATTGGGCATTACGAGACTTTGCTTCCAGACTAATGGCGCAGATATGTAAAAATTTTAACACCTCTACAAATAATGTACAAACTAGAGTTACTCGTATGTTTAGTCAAGCATTGGCGAAAAACAATCAGGTAACAATCATAAAGTTTGATATGAAAAAAAATTAATTTATATTATGAGACTAGAAAGAAATTTTTGTAGACACCATTAGCGTCTCTTTATGGAGCAATTGAAGGACTCTGTGAACTAGGTCCAGAAGTGATTAAAGCTTTGGTTATTCCCAAAATTAAATCTATCTCTGACCGTATTGAATCATGCATTGAAGGTCAAGGATTATCCAATGTGGATAAAAATGGAGCTGGGCACATCAAAACTTTGCTTGTGGTAAAACTGATTTCAATAATATTCGTTTTTTTCTTTTTCTTTTTTTTCTGAAAATGTATAGAATATATTAAGATTTAATATTATATAATCACTTATTAATGAAAAAGAATTGTAGAGCGAAAATATACATCGACATATGTACATTAAATATCAGTATAGCTAAAAAAATTTTTTTAGAAATCGGTTGCTCCAGTTTTGAAAACAATACGGTCACCACCTGATTACGTGGATGATTACAAACAGGACTATGGATACATAGGTCCTGCACTATGTGCTGCAGTTGCAAAAGCTCGCACGCAACCTGTTGCTTTAGCAACTACAACTACAACTACAGCACTTACAACGAATCAACAACAAGGTTCTAATTGTACAGGAAAAACACTTGTGCAAACAGGTGAGCAAATTGTCATCGATAGCAGTAGTATGTATATTATAAATAATAATTATGTTGTAGTGACTAGTTCGAGTCCTGGACAGCAAACTGGCCGCACAATTATGCTTGGTACAAGCAGGAATGCTAGCGGAACTTCTGCAACTGGTGGACAAAAATTTGTCATCCTGCAATCGCGCTCACAAACACCTACTGCTTCCAATATAAATACCAGTGCGATTCAACAGCAACAATCGCAGACACAGCAGCAGCAGCAACAACCACAACAACCACCACCTCAGCAAGTTAAACTGGCACAGACTAATGTCAGTCAACAAAAAGCACATGTACCAAGTTCCACTACAAAATTAGTTGTAGTGTGCATGTCTGCCAGTAGTCATACTAATACATCGGTGACGCAAGTATGATCTATTTATCCATCAATATTATATATAAATTTCGGTCTCAAAATGTATTATAAATATTCTAAAAATTTTTACATTTTTAGCAAGCAAATCTTACGGCGAAGACGCAAAATGTCTTTGTAACACAACAAAATGTCGAAGGGTCACTCAGTCCAGAAGAAGAACACTCGTTTCAATAAAAAAAAAATATATATATATATATATACATAGGTATATGTAAGATTGACAAGCATATATATACATATATGTATATATATGAAAATAGAACTTCCATAAAAATCCTTCCTTATATAGTTAATACATTCTTTAAATGAGAACAAATAGTTTTTAAAGAAAAAATAAATTTTTATGTAAATTAAGAAAAAGTTTTTTATGAGTTTTCTATTTTTTTAAGTCTAACAAAATAATGCTTTGTATTTTTGATTTAAGATAGGTCGACAGCAATTTTTTTTGTTTGTATTCTATATTATTTTTATAATTATATAATATATATATATTATATAATACATACAAGGATACTTTTTAGCATTCAATGAAATGTTATAAATTTGATATATTCTAACAATTAAAATATTAAAAATAGTGTTTCTACATTAAATATGATTTTCTTTGATACAGATACAACTATCAATTGATTTATTATATTGGATATTGTGTAATGAAATACATATGAATTACAATTATAATTATCTACTTTTCGTGAGAACAGTTGACTGTTTTTTTTGTTTTGTTGGATCATATTTAAATGTCTTAACTAAAGGACCTTTACCTGCGGCATTAAATTGTACTGTATCTGCTCTTTCTCTATCAGCTAATTGCTTAGATATCTTCATGTTCGTCCAGGCTAAAATGAGCATAAAATTAGCAATTATCGCATAAATTTTTGTTGAAGAGGAATATATATATATATTTATCTTGTATTATTTGTAATTATTTGCATATGTACTCGTGAATATTGATTATTCTTAATTTACTAGTATTATTTCACTGTGTAACATAATACACTGTACTCACCTTCTTGAAATTCTTTAGTGAAATTCTTCTTTTTACCATCAGCTGCTGATTTATGTTTTATCCGGGTAGGCATATCGAGAGTTTTTCTTACGTATGGAACTTTTAGGATACCAGTTTGCACCAAAGAAACAAAGTTTGTTGATACCCAATATGTTAAGATAGCCTGCAATTAATATGAAGAGATACACTTAAAAAATGATTTAAAAACATTTATAAGAAAATATGTATATATATTAACACATAAAAGCGATATATATATATAAATATTTAGTGATGCATAAGTGCTCTTCGATTAATGATTCATAAAGATATATCACAATATAACATTAATATTATTATACTTACACCAGGGAAATGTATCATGAATGGCAATATTATGAAAGGCACTGCTCGCAAAACGTATCGAAACATGCCCATACTCTTGAGGTTAGTGCCATCTGCACCTAACTCGATTGTGATATACATAGTTACAGAAGTAACAATCGGCATTATGTAATAAGGATCATGTACAGTGAGATCATGTAACCACCAAAAACCGCCGTATTTCAAGCTCTCCACAGGCGTATTCGCCATTCCCCTCAAGGCTAAAAAGAAGGAAAGAAATACTGGTGCCTGAAAAATTTACATCAATCAGCAAATTATTTTCTATCTTATCTTTTTTTGTGTACATTCATTATATTATACGCACCTGGATTAATGGTACTATGAAATTCTTAACGGGACTGACGTCATTTTTTTTCATATACTGCATCATCTCGTTCGCAATTCGTGCACCTATTAATTTACAAAAAAAAAGAAAAAGAAAGAAAAATGTTTTTATTCTTAGTTATTGTAAGTTTGTAACCATAGTTTTTGGTAACAAAATTATGAAAATTTTTTACAAAATTTTTTTCCAACATACTTTCAAAATGGTCACCATTCTGTCTGGCCTCTGTCATTTTCATTTGTAGTTCTGTTATTACTGGCATGCAATTGCTGAAGTTGATCATATTTTTCTGTGCCTTTATCACTATGGGAAATATAAGAACTCTTACACAAATAGTACCTGAAAGCAATTAAAGCTGTATTAATAATGTAATTTTTATTACATACATAATTATATGTATTAATTATATAATTATATAATTAAATAATTATCTAGATTCTCTTCTTATGATAAAAGTAAAAAAATATACCTATGACAATTGTTGTCCACCATGGGATATCACAACTTATGTGCATAAATTCCAAGAATTTTTGTATAAGTCCCACTGGAGTATAACTACTAGCCAATCCTATGCTTTCCAAAGTTGCTTCTCCATTTGGATGCACTTTCACAATATTTTCTATTATTTCCTCTACTGGTGTTGGTGGATCTATATATAAATTTTATAATAAATCAAATGGCTTTTATAATTCTTAAATTTTCTTTCCTTTCTGATATATAATTACATAAAGTTTTATTAAGAATAAAAGAAAGTCTCTTGTCTTCTTTGTCATAGAATAAGTTTAATTATTAACATATAGTTGCTAATATTAAAATATGATTAAACATTTTTAATACTTGTTATAACAAATCATCAAAAAAATCAAAAGAATATTAACAATATACAATTTTTCTATAAGTACCTGGTATTTCATCATATGGACTCTTCTGTGGTGTTTCATTGGTACTAGCATAACGAACCAAAGGGATTCCTGTAATTCTGCAGTTTTTGCAGTTTTTGTATAGATTAAGTACAGAGTTGGTTCTGGAAGTTCCTTTTATTTGATTGATTAGATGAATATGTCTACACGTAATCACTTCCTAAATGAGGGAAACACTTTCTCAGGAACAATATTACTTTGTAAAACTATTATTACAGAAAATTAGAATGCATTTTTCTGAATATATTAATAAATCAAATATGTGTTTGACATGTAACATTTCAAGATTAATATATTCTTTTCCAAATTTATACAAAAATGAATATAAATGTAATTAATTATAAATTAATACTGTATTATTATTAATAATTATTACATCGTATTCTCTTAAATATCAACTAATGATTTATGTTGCAAAATTCTAAGTAATAATTTCTAACCTAATCGTTAAGAAAAGCCGCAAAATATTTTACCTGTGATATCACGTGTGTTTTTAATAGCGCTTGTCGACAAGCGATCGCGGATACTCGTACCAACATTTTTATGATTTTCGATTAAAGTGTCAACCTTAATTAATTTGCAAAATTTGTACTTTTTTCATCGAAAATCTGCTCTCTTATTAATAACTATATTCCTGTGGCCTCCATTAGGTAGGACTCGAAGCGCCTCTATATCCGTAGAACATAGATATTGAACTACATAGCCAAAACCATGAAACATCACAATGGGTAACACGCAAATTGTGGTTCTGTTCCATGATATGCAAAACTGTCGGTAATACCTTTCTCATTCATACAGAGAGAAGCCAATTAATATATAAATATTTAACGAATTAATCGAACGAATGCATTCCGATTCATCTTTTTGTTTGGTATATATAAACATTTAATTCACTATTCAACTGATTGCGTTCCGACTCGCTTTTTTATTCGATATATATAAATATTACACTTAAGTGTGAATCCAAGATGCAGATTTCGGATATTCACTGTAAGTCGGCCGCTCCTCGGGCGATCGGGACGAGATTTAAACGATAGTGCCGCGAAATGGTGTAGAATTTTATGCAAAAAGAACGAAATCGCTATCGCGTCCGGAAGTCGAGATATAAATTGGCCGTTTTTCGTCTGCGGACGGTCGAAATCGTGCACGACGCCGCGCATGTTGCCTGCCTCTCTCGCATGATATTCACTGTAACGCGGCGAATAAAATGGCAAGCCGAATGCAATCGTTCGATTAATTCGTTAAATACTTATATATACCGAACGAAAAAGCGAACCAGAATGTAATCATTCGATTAATTGATTAAATACTTATATATATCGAACGAAAAGATGAATCAGAATGCAATCGTTCGATTAATTAATTAAATATTTATATATATCGAATAAAAAAGCCTTTAATCAACGATTTAATTAATCGGAGTTTAGTCGAAGCGACCCTTAGTCTGACTCTTTCCCTTCGACCTGTCTGGCATGGCTGACCCTACCGGTTACTACAACCGGTATTCATAATTTACTTTTATATTTAAGATCATCTTAAATAAGTTGGAAAATGTTATATAACTATTTATGTTATATAACTATTTATTATATAACTTGTTTTACTAACTAAACGGAATCTTAAGAAACAATCTAAGATCATACTTAAGATTATCACAAATATAAAAATAGTCTATATGAATGTTCAATGACGCGAAAAAATAAGTAAAATTTCGATTACCCAACAATTAAATCAGAGAAAAAATCACGGTTTAAATTTTGTGAATATATGTAATAAATAAATAAATTAATAATAATAATAATATTTAATCACAATATACATAATTTTTTAAATAATTGGAATAGAACGTACGCACACGCAATATAATTATTATCATTTTGTGTGACAATAAAAATATTGCAACATTAGAGGCGCATTTCATATAATTTGCATAATATTATGATACGTAAGGAATCAAACGCGGATGCAGAATCTAATAGTCGATTTCTTTTCAAATATACAATTTTATGTAAATTTCGCGATCAAAAGTAAAATATATATCTTGTTCCGCGAACAATTGTAAACAGGCTAAACATTAATATCCTTATTCCTTAAAATAACGGCGTTATCGCCACGATAATGAAAGATAACTGGCCCAACGACCAGACCAGATCAAAATCCCTCTGCCGAGTGACACACTGGTTAATATCTGACAGAGAGAAAAACAATCCTAAAAGTGGAAAGCGACTTCAATTTGTTTTATTTCTTCTATTTCAGATCTCGCGAAATCGATCCACAACGAATCGAACATGTAGATTTAAGTAGAAAAAATTAAGATTACGAAAATTTATAGTAAATTATGTTTCCATACTAATTGTAATCATGTTTAGTAAAAAAATTACAATATACAAAGCGTTTCTTACCACTACTTTATTACTCGAGAGTCACAGTACGAATGATGACAAAGCGGCACCGTATAGAGCGCTACTGTTTATATTTTATATTGCCAAAATCGTACATCGTGTTATCGATAATTCATTACCGAAATATTTTATATATTATAAAATATACATTAACGTAAAATATTAAATTATGAAAGTATTTAATTTATTGATTAAAATTAATTATTTTTCATACAATTCACGCAGTCTTTTGTTATGCTAATTATTTGCATCTATAATTCGATTGTTTTACTTTGCGTTTTCTCACATCCCAAATTATATTTAAATTATCAAGTAAAACGATAAAGTAACACGTATGAAATATATATATTTGTGATTCTAAATATTAAAATAATAATTATTGTCCGTAGAAATCGCAATTATCAAAGTGATTATTTAATATTTTAAATCCCTATAATTTAATCTATTTTCGGTTAAATTGTGTATTTTAATTAACAAAGATTGAGAAAATTTAAAGCATTAGTCAAAATATATTTAATTCTAATATTATATTCTAATATTATAAAGAAATATTATAATAAGGATCGATGATAGAAATATTACAACAAAATCTCCTTTTTTATGCATAACACGTTTTAATTTTTAACTGTTAAAGAAATATTATAATAAGCATCGATGATCGGAAAATTATATTTAATTCTCTTATCCCCTTTTGTATATCCTCTGTTTCAATTTTTAATCGCGGTAGTGAATGATTATGATTCGATAAATATTTATCGTTGTGATACATTTTCATGTCGTTAATTAATTTTTAAATAATTAATTTTTGTTAATATTTATAGCAAATTATATTTCGATACTAATCGTAATCGTGTTTAATAAAAAAATTAATGTATACGAAGCGTTTCTTACCATTACTTTATTACTCGAGAGCCACCGTGCAAATGATGACAAATCGGTAACGTATAGCGCGTTACTGTTTATATTTTATATTGCCAAAGTCGAACGCCGCGTTATCGATAATTTGTTGCTGAAATATTTTTATATTTTATATGTTATAATATATACATTAACGCGGAATATTAAATTATGGAAGTATTTTAATTTATTAATTAAAATTCATTATTTATTAAACAATTTATCACGGATCTTTTCGTTATGTTAATTATTTGTATCTATAATTCGATTGTTTTACTTCGTGTTCTTTCACAATCCAAATTATATTCAGATTGTCAAGAACGATAAAGTGACACGGATGAAATATATTTGTGACTCAAAGTATTAAAATAATTATTATATCGTAAGCCTATAATCCTATAATTTAATCGAGAATCGATTAAATGGTAGGATTCTAAGATATTAAATAATCACTTTGATGATTGCGATCTTCACGGACAATAATTATTATTTTAATACTTAGAGTCACAAATTATATTTTTTACTTTAGAAATTTCTATGAGATTTATTCAAGCTTATGTTTTTTGAATTTTATCAACTTTATATAATATGGAAATTTAAAAGATTGGAACATATTCCAATTATTAGTCTAACATTTAAATTTAATGATCTAATTTATTTAATTAATTTATATTGATTTACATTTGAAAATTTAGGCTTTTAGCTGAACAATATATTAATAAAATTGGCAGCGCCAAGTTTTTTTAATTAAAATTTTTTTTACTTTCTTGTTTTATATTAATTTTCAGTTTCCAATTTTTAAATAAATTTTTAATTTTTTATATTATTATTTTTGAAAATTAAAGCAACTATTTTGTATAACAATGTTTTCAATTAAAATATTTCTCTTTAATTTGTACAAGTTTTCTTCCTTCTGTTTCTTGTACCTCTGTTTCTTGTACAAATTTTTATTCTTAGTTGGCACAATTTTTTTATATCATAAAGTATACGCGCCCATTTGAAATTGTATGTACGTAGATCTTTCTCAAATTTCTTACATATTTCCGTGTATCCGCGTTTAAAATCTTTGTAAAAAATGCCGAAAATAAAACGTCATTAATTACATCGTAACAGTTAACGTAGAAGGTACGTTTCATCACGATTCCTCGCTCGATTTTTTGTCGCCAAGTTTTTTAACGCAACGAAATTTTCAATCGCGCGTCGTGCGCATGTCCGCTCGGCCGCCACGTAGTTACAAAAAATATATTTTTTTATGAAAAATAATTAATTATTAATCACACACACATTGAAAACGTGATGATATACTTTCAACTAGGCAACCATAAAAATAATGAAAAAATTATTTAACGTTGTTAATAATTAAAATCCTTTATAATATGAAAGAATACAGTTACATATTTGCATGTTTTATATATTAGATAACATGCAATTTTAATAAACATATTAATTATATATACTCTTGATAATAAAATAAATAGTAAAGACATATATCTGCAAAACATTTTTAAATAAAAATGTAGAAGAAATTCTACGCAAAAAAGAAGAGAATTTTTTCATACACAACAAAGAATTTACATGATAAAAAAATTAAGTAATATATATTTATTAATTATTTTGTTAATTTTTTCATATAATTCTTTTATATATACATATATCGTATGAAAATTTTGTTGTGTCTGTAAAAAGATGTTTCAATTCTTAAGCACGGATTTTACTTTTCATCATTAATATATATATAGCTTTTATTAAAAATATTACTATATAACTACAGTATAAATAATTACAGTATCTCTCTTAGTCTCACTCTTCCCCTTTGACCTGTCCGGCATAGGTGACCTTACCGGTAACTATTTAGATCGCAAAAATAATCATTTTGATCTCATTTTGAAGCGATTTGATTAGCAAAATGACATAAAAATGATTATTTTTACTATCTAAATACATTACCGCCGACATAGCTCTCCGGATCATTAGAGTACTCAAACCTCTTCACCCGGCAAATGCCTTCGTTAAGGTGGAGATACCATCGAAGAGGTAAAATTTTTATTATAATTATTTCATTTAAATATAATAAATATAATATAATTTCATAAAATGAAGGGAAGTATACAATATATAATATACAATAATAATATTGAAGTGTGGAAAGTAACATACATATTTTATAAAATATAATATACTTATAAAATATAATAATAATATATTAATTATAATATTTATAAATTAATACAAAATATCTTATTTTATAAAATTATTTTATAAAATTATTATACAAATTATTACATATTATTTTATAAAATTAATACATTACAAAATTATTTTACTTATAAAATATTGAAAATATATACAATATACACTATTGTGTG